AATTTGCGGTTATAAAAGGCGGTGGCTTTACTGCCGCCTTAAGGATTAACAACGAGTGTTTAATAAAGAGCCGCGATACGACATATCGGAGCATCCTGTCGAAGGCTATAGTTTGTAAACGTGTGTATACGAGAGGTATCGACTGTCGAGATGCGATAAATGCAAAGAGCAGGGGTGCAACGTATATGAAAGACTTTAAAAAAATATAGAAATGTGATGACGAAGGGAATGCCAACAACTTCACTGTTTTCTCGGTGTCCGCCAAGCAATGCTAATTGAATTGTTTCATTACTCGTAGAGGACGCGGCGTCTGCTACCAAATAAAGACACCGAATGCGACCGACGACACCTATAGATGCAATATAATTTTATTCGTACAACGAGCCATATGCTTAGAAAACCGTTACTATTCACTCGCTAAAGCATCAGTGAATCGCAAAGTAAAACTAAAAGAATGTTGGTGCCAAGGTATACTGTAATATGATAGCATGTGTTCCTCCTTTTGTAATCACACACCAGTAGCAGACCAGTACACGTTATGAAAAATAAGTAACTGATTGCACTTGGCAATTACTTCCTTTAAAATGTAGGCGAATACAATGGTCAATTAGAGCCCCATAAACGTAAATGAGCAATGAAGAAATGCACTTCATCAATTTCGCGTTTACTTCAGTTCAAAAATTTATTGCCGGTACAAATTAGCACACCTTTGCTCAATCTACAACAAACTTCTCAGGCTTGCACCGTAGAACGAAGTCCGGAGGCTTCCGTGAAGACTGGGAGGTGTACGGTGGCATCTTTGGTATAGCGTTACACGTTTTCAACTTTTAAAACATGTTTTTTTAAGGTTGTCGGCGCTGATTCTTCCACGTTTCCTGAGTAAGTAGGCTGCTATAGTGAACACTCCAATGCATGCGCTGGACGAAAGTGTGGTATATGGCATACACCTTGCACACTAGCTCATAGTTGCGCAGTGCCTCAATGCTAGCGTTCATGACCTCGACGAAGCGTTACACTGTGCTATTGCTAGAGATCGCGTAAAGCATATATTTTCCAGGTAAGCACGAGAAAAAAAAAAAGGCTTTCTTAGGGATCTCTGTTTTATCAAATGAGGGTGCCCTGCAGTTTTTTCGTGATGGAAATTGCTGTAGATGCCTGGTTACAGTTTGATTTTGAAAAAAAATCATTGATTACCGGTAATCATTTACAAGAACCTGTAATAAAATGGTCCTAACCCTTACCGTTACGAAAGAGTAATTACAAAAAATTAATTCAAGTAATCGGTCACATTATTGCAAAAAGTTACGTACAACTCTGATCCGGAGCCTAATTGGCACCACTTTACTTCAGCGTCCCCCCCCCCCCCCCCTTGAAGCAGTGGATTAACCAGAGAAGCCATAATTGTCACACAACCATTTATTAATAATTTCGCGAGATGATACAAAAACACTATACATAAAGAGAAGAAACCAAAAGTTCGCTAACATATATGTTCTCAAATGCTATATGGATAACACTAATCAACAAATGCTACGAACTAATACGCGCGGTACATATTAGTCTTATTATGCTATATCAATTTCATCAATATAGCTCATTACTCAAATCTAAAACTGCTAGATGCGCTTCAAGTAAAATTGCCATCAAGCATTATCTACACCATGCATTCCGCCATCATTCCCCTCCCTTTTTTTATGCGTTTTCGTTTTGTTCGTTGGCTTGTGCGAATGTGTCAGTCGACAAAGTACGCAATACACCCTAGCGCGAACCCTTATACGGCGGCAACATCCCAACTGTTTTCCTTAAGTAGAGCACCATTAAGCTGCCAGGAGTACTCCCTCCGAAAGTACTCTCCGAGTACTGCCTCAGTGCGCTTGGTAGCACTGACCAGGCTTATCCTGGCGCATGCGGTGTGGAACTTCGACTCGAAAGCGCATGTGACGTTGCGGTTCCCTTGGAATCCTAAAGCAACGCGCATCGGCGCATCTTTCTGCATACATTGTGGCAATCTGAGGGTACATATCACAGTGGTGTAGCCAAGGGGCGGCACACCGGTCTCATGCCCTACCACATTTTGTTGTTGTAGTTGACATGGCATACAGAGCACACAGTGACACTCAACGACGTTTGCCGGCCCCCGGCCCTCACTTCTTATTAAGAAAGTGCCTCCACCTCAACCGCCCCCCCCCCCCCGCCCTGTTGCCAAAAACATTTCTAGCTATGCCCTTGATATACAAGGTAGCAATAATGAAATACCAGAACGAGTTCAGAGCAGGTGCGAGTGAGTGTGCTTGATTGAGCCGTGCTTGAGTGGTAGCAACTGCATTTCGGAAAAAGATGCAAGCAACCAGCGGCATGGTCACACTGGGGATGAAATTGACAGAGGCGTTCGAAGTGCTTCCACCATTGTGAAGATATAGAGCTCCACCTCAGTTGCCGTAACCCGAGTTATGCAAATATAACGTGGATGCGTACCCCCAACGAATCAACCGTTACACAAGGCATACCTAAATTATTTGCGAGTTCGTTTCGCAAGTTACTATAAGCTTTCACTCTCGTGATTAGTGTGTTACATTCGTAACAGGTATCTGGGAAACCGATGAATAGGCACTCGATCGAACCCAATGTTGCGCACTGAGACGCTGAACATCAACTAGCCGCACGAAGTCCAGTAGTAAGTATACCCGAGATTACTTTCTATAGCGTGTCGACGCTTACAATCAACACGACGCGAGCACACAGCCGACCGCAGCTTTCTTGAGCTGCTTTCATTCTCTGGGATGCGAAACGAGAAAAAATCGCGATATTAACACACAAACTATTATAACCACTTTACACCTACAGCACGTGGTAGCATATGCTGAACAACAAGGAATGATCATATACGATGTGAACGCGTATAAGTACACATTTGCATTGCGCTCAGTGAAATGAAGATAATCTCATAGAAATGTGGAGGATACGGGAGGATATAACGGCGATAAAATGTTTATCAGTCCCTTTCATTTAATTTAGTATTATTTTCTCTGCACTTCAAATAAAACGACAATTTCTTCTATGATTTCCTTGGCTTTATTACACGTTGACATCATACGATAGTGTAACGTATAGGTGGGGCAGTATTCTTTAAAAATTGCGATTTATGTGACAAATGTGTGATTAAGTTCCACTTACAAACATACTTAATGCTGGGAATGTCGGCTGCTCTGTGCGTGACACACTAAAGCGTGACAACGTAGATAAGCTTTCCACTCCTGGATCGCTGGCCCTGTAGCATGACACGTGCATCTATAGGCTACACTTAACTGCTGCCTGTTATAGACGGTACTCGCTTTAGACTCGCAGAATTCGCCGGGCTATCTGGTCACACACTTGTAAATGAAAAAAAAAAGAAATGACGTCACCAATGGAAATGCGCACAAACGAAGGAACAGACAGGACGAGTGCCAACCAACAGTCAGCGCTCGTCCTGTCCGTTCCTCCGCTTCTGCTTAGTCTCCTTTGACGCTGTTCTTCCCATTTACAAATTTATACTTGTCTCTCCCCTCCAACCACCGGATAAGAAAAGAGAGAGAGAGAGAGTGGTAATATTGAAGAGTGCCTCAAATTCGCATATTATCAAAGTTATTATGAACGATGGATGAATTTCTGTCTTGTTATCGAATTCAGTCGTGTTTGTAAGCACAAGCACAACCGAAGTGCTTTCAGCACAAAAAAAGCGTGACAACCACGTGAACCAATCACAGATGAACATATAGCTAATTTGACTATGCGCATAATGCCACGTTCAGGTTCTGATCATAGCACGGCCACATTGTGAACATAATCTATTACCCATTGTAATAAAACAGCAACACAGTGGACAAAAGTCAAAGACCTAACAGTTGCTTTTGAGCATTTTTGATTGAATGATTGCTATGACACCGTATTTCAATGCGACTGCCGTGTTTATGCCCCTTTCAGGCCTTGGTTATATCGACGGTTATACCTATAGCATTCGAAAGAAGCGAAGAGGCGCTGTTCTATAAATATGGCTTCGCATGCACGAATAGAGGAGTCCCATGACGATAGATATAATTGCACCATTAGCAATGAGTACAGTCTCCGGCCAACGACGCAAGAGCTACTCTGTGAGCTTTCCGGCCCCATCAGCCAGTCCACATCAGCCCCTCACGTCGTCAGGTTTCTAAGTGGTGTTTGCTCATATATGAAGATAACGAAACCCTCAGCTGAAAACTTGTCCTTGGTGATGAGAAGGCGGACGCTGTGCGCTCAAGGCAAGTTCAAGTGCGAGTACGTGGAGTGTATAGTAAACTCTCCGTGCACAGTTTTATAGCGAACTTGAACTGGTGCAGTGCATAACGGCAAAGAAGACGGCCTAGCAGGTCAACACAATAAGGCAAAAGTGCTTTGTCCTGTTGAGTTGGCCGGCTAGACCGTTCTTTCGTTCCAGTTGTACGCTGGACAAGTGCATGTACGACAAACACACAGTGCGAAGGAAATGTGAGATTTGGCCTGCCTTGCAAATCTTTTCTGCGAATGTGTTATAACTATATACTATATACTTTGATTTCGATGGACAAATTTTCCCTTCTGACACGTCACTTCCCCTAAACTTTCACTCTAAATCTTCTTTCTCAAAGAAATAAAGTGTGTCTTTGACTATACGTTTTCTCTAACCTCTCTTTTAAATGATTCACGCAGAGATAACCGAAACTGACTTCCACAACGACACATTGTCTTCAGACCTCTTCTTTTTTAGCTCATTCAACAGAAAAGAAAACACGTTAGCTTATTGACTTATTCAGGCAGTAGTGGTGACTAGATATATATTACACAATTAACGAACAAGAAACGGAAGGAAACAGCTAGAATACAAGTGGCACATTGAGTGTGCGTTAAGTCCGTATGATTGCTGTCGTTCAGCGTTTGCATTTCCAGCTCCTTCGTTGCGCAGCTCTGGCATTCATGGAAGTTAATCGGTAGTTAATAAGCAAATAGATTTTTTCGTTTGTTTTTCTTTTTGTAGTAATTTCAGCGCAGCCTGGCATGACAGGGTATCTGCGGTCATGACACGTGTGCAAAACCACGAGAGCGCAGCGAAAAGACAGCTAGAACTGAAAGCGTGCTCAACGCACTTAGCCCAGGATTCCTGCACATTGCGGAAATCAGTGAGGGCCCCTTACTGAGCCGACATGCATGCACTTCCCATCAATACCAACTGAAGTGCTGTAGGCGTCTCTCTAGCAAGCACTTGTGAAACCATGCATTCAGAAGACTATTCTGTAGTCCTGGTTGAGCAGATATGTGCCATTGTCTCGCTGCACGCCCCTGAGCGATGAGTTGGTGCGTAGCGTCTCCAGGTGGTAACCCATGGTGTGAAGCTTCTGAAGGATCACCTGGAATTAACGACACGCATGTGTCACGAAACAAATGTCTCGAACGCCAGAGAAAACCAAAACACTACATTCTAGCACTGGGCGTCAGTTACAGGAACAGTATCATTACAGAAAGGGTATCAGAAGCAAGCGTCAGTAAGGAAGATGGATAGAAAAAAAAACACATTTAATAATTGTCCTAGCAGACTAAATTACCGGAATGTTTTTCTGTCTATCAACTATAACCAAACCCACGTATAATATGCAAAAATCTACGACGTCACCACGAGCTTTGCGGCTATTTCCGCATTCGGTCAGTTGTGTTTCATTTATACTCTTTCTGCATAACTTCCCGAAAGAGTGAGCAGGCGTAGTGCCCCTCCAGGTGGCAGTTGCCAGCCTGCTCTCTCCCTTTTCACTTTATGTCCTTGTGTATCCGTGTATGCAAATAAAATCAAATAAATGACGGTAAATAGCTTGGCTAGACAAGAGAGAAAAGAAATGTTAGAAAAGGAAAAAAAAGGGAAGAATAATTTTATGGTTAATGTGGCCGGATTTAATAGTTTTGTGAGGCTGTATATCAACAGCGTCCAACTCAAAATTTTTAAATTCCGTTTCCTTTTTCGGCTCGCCAAGAATTTCTCTAAAATTTTTTTATTTCTTAAAGAAACTCAGATATCTCCAGTCTAGTGGTGCCAGGACTGAGACAACAGCATAGCTTGGCGGCCGATCTTCTTTCTCTTCATATTTCTCTTTCATCTTGTGCTTTCTATTTCAGGCGCCACGGTGGTCTAGTGGTTGTGGTGCTCGCCTGCTGACCCTAAGGCCGCGGGATCAAATCCCAGCTGCGGCGGCTGCATTTTCAATGGAGGCGGAAATGCTGTAAGTCCATGTATTCAGATTTGGGTGCACGATAAAGAACCCCACAGGGTCGAAATTTCCGGAGCCCTTCCCTACAGCGTCACTCATAATCGTATCGTGGTTTTGGGACGTCAAACTGCAACAATTCTTTCTATTTTTTGTTTCTCTAACTAGTTTTTTTCTCTCTCTTGATATGTGGGGTTTAACGTCCCAAAACCTCCATATGATTATGAGAGACGCCGTAGTAAAGGGCTTTGGAAATTTCGACCACCTGGGGTTTTTTAACGTGCACGCAAATCTGAGACACGGGCTTACAGCATTTTCGCCTCCATTGAAAATGCTGCCTCCGCAGCCGGGATTCGATCCCACGACATGCGAGTCAGCAGCCGAGTACCTTGGCCACTAGACCACCGCGGCGGGGCAGTTTTCCCTCTCTTTCCATCTGCCTCTTCCCTCCTATTTCTTTCATTCTATTTCTGTCCTTCTTCCCTTTCGTTCTATTTCTCTCTTTCTGTATCAAATTTACTTTCTCCTCTTCTCCAATCTCATCCTCACCCTCACCTTCCTTGCTATACTATACAGAATGCCACGTTATGTACAGCTAGCGTGTTTGGATAGCCAAGTGGTTACGACGCTCGGCTTCGGATTGTAGGAACGAGAGTTTGAATCGTTTATCACCAAGAAATTTGTTCACTAAGATATTCTCTCTTTTTATAACTTTTTCTCCTCCCCTTTCGTTCCTTGCCACTCTCTCAGTACTCCTTCTCGCACCCGTCATAGTTATCAGAATTGCGTGCACCGGACAAAATGGTCCACGTGTTCTGCAGGCGAAGTAGAAGATGAAGTACAGAGAAAGAACAGGACGAAGTTTGCGCACACCTCGTGGCCGATGTCACGTGGTGGACTCTGCCATTATTCCGGAAATCATCATCATCATCATAATCTGCGCATGCTGGTTCGCGACTATAGTTTCTGTTGTGAGATTACAGACTGACGCTTCGCTTCGTTATTAGATCCGGGTTAAACCGCGCTAAACCGCTTCCCGTCTGTTCTCGTAAAATGAGCACTATTAAAAAAAACCAGTGCCTTATTTTGTCTTGTGCAAAACACCGACGAAGACGTGACGTTCCGATGTAATTCTAATTCACAAGAATTGAAGAGATTTTTTTTTCTCCACTTCTGAGATAGCTTCAGTTCGATGACCTGAATAGAACTTATCATTCTTGTTTGTTGTCAGTACAGATTACGCGTGCATCTCAAGACACGGCTGTAAGCAGCATAGTCGAGCATGTTCAGGTTCCTGATGTGAAGCCGACACTGACCCCTGGGAACGTGTACTCGGCATACAACACGTCCGGCACGAGGGGATGGTGCAGCCTTGGGGCATCGATTGCCTGCTTCAGGGTCACGTTGGTGTGCAGCGTCCGCCACAAGAACTGCATGCAAAGAATGATTAATAATCAATTAATTAATTCATGAAGAGTGTTTAAAAGCAGCTGTTAGAACTATAAATCTTGTTCACTTTGTAGGTGTTTCATTACAATGGGTAATAGATAACATTCACAAGCGTGCTCCCCTTCAAAAAGAAGGAAGCCCCCCTGCCCACGGTGAGTAAGCCTATCACGACACCAATCTGATTGTAAATTTTTAAAACCTCCTTGGAATACACTGAAAACATAACACGTACTGCAGAGTGATATAATACAAGGTATTTAGTAATTAGCACAATTTAGCCAAATCTCATCAGTCTTGCTACCCACACGCAAAGTCGAGCTCCCTGCGTGGAGGCTGATTTGATCTTAAACATCTAGGACTTACTACTACTACTACTACTACTACTACTACTACTACTACTACTACTACTACTACTACTACTACTAATAATAATAATAATAATAATAATAATAATAACAATGATGATGACTTCACACCAACCTGTATGGCTGCCGTGAGAGTCTGGTTGCCCGGGGCGTCCGAGGTGAAGAGCAGCTGCAAGTCACCGGTGTCGTCGACGACCAGCGCAGGTGCCGCCGGGCTGGGCACTCTCACCCCTGGCCGGAACAGGGAGCCACTCTCCTCTCCCTCTTCCCCGCTGGCCGCGGGAAACTCCCTCAGGGCGCCGTTGAATATCACACCCGTGGAGTTGGAAAGGAAGTGCGAGCCGAACCTGCGGCGACGGTATATGCTCGCGTGAATAACAATAATGATTCGTTTTTTTAGGGGCGACGAACCTCTTTGTCCAACCTTGTCATGCGTAACGCGTAACCGAGAGAAAAGATGAGAAAGGAAAGAAGGCAGTATAATAGGCAGCACTGTATCATAAAAGTACATACAAACGGCAGTTGAGTGAGGATATTCTAGATGGCGCTGTACCACTAATCTCTGATTGGCTGCTAGTCGTGCTGCGCCTGAGTACGCCGAGAACAAATGCCTCTCTCAGTCCCCTGAATAATCGTCGTGCTTGATGGATCCTTGGTGGGGCATGGACGAAGCAGAGCGGCGGGCGCGTTGAAGACGCTTGCATTCGGCTTCCTTGGCTCGCGTCTCGCCGGTGTTACCCGCGCGCCGCCTGCATTCTCGAACGCGATCGGACGCATGCACGGATGGACGGTCACACGGATGGATGGATGGACACTTCGCCTCACTCATCATAATTCACTCCGTGGATATTCTGTGATCTTTTTCTAAAGGGAAGGGCGTTTTTTTTACGTGGGATGAGTACCCTGGCTACTACACGAAATTTATTGCCATCGTTGAATATAATTTGATCATATCAGCTGCATTATTGGGGCGCAGCAACATCTTTTGAGCATGGTCAGAAAATGCTGCCGATCAGTAGCAGAGGCTTTCAAGAACACACGAGCCAAATATTATAGCATAGCACGTGGCCTGAAATTCAAAATAAATTCTCAGTCAGCTAAAAGTTGCTTTCTCTTTTCGAGGCAAATGACCATACAAGCTCAAAAATCCCTCGTCACAGCCGTTGTCTCAGCCATTGGCTGATTTGAGCATGGTGTGATCGGTCGTTACTGGGACTGCCGCAGCAGGCCGCGACTTGTCCACGTTTGCGCGTGCGATCACACTGCAAAGCCGCGTATTCGCAGAAAAAGAAAGGCGAAAAAGTGTTCAAAATAACGAGGCGCGCGTGACATATTTTCTTTCCCCGTGCCATCCCTCCCTGCTTAGCTTCCAGCACTTTCGTCGGGACGATCGGAGAGATAATGCAATTGCAGCGTGCGACAAATCTGCAACTCCGCTCGTACTGCAGAATATCTAAAAACTTTTGCGGCGGTGAATCATCACGGGATACGCTTTTTTAGTGAATTGAGTTCATTTTATGGTGACTTGAAAAAATGTTGCAGGGCCCCGTCAGGTATTCACGTACTCTCACCATCACGAACTAAAAAAGGCAATTCAGCTTCGCACTTGACGTGCAAGCCTGAAGGTCGTGCGGAGCTGGGCGACCTTTTTTTTTGTTTCTCTTTATTTTTTCCTTTATACCTTACTTTGTTTTTCTCTCTTCTCTGTATTTTTTCTGTATTTTATGTGTGTCTATTTCCGTTTTTTCCTTTCTACTTTTGTATATTTGTTTCTATTTCTCGTTCTTTCCCTCTTTCTGTCTCTTTCTGCCCATATACTTATATCTCTCTGATTACGTCTCGTTGCCTGTATCTTTCTTTCTGCTCTTCTCTTTTTTTCTCATCTCTATGCTATGTTTTATTTTTTCCCCTCCTCCTTTCCTCACGCACCCTCATTTCTCTTTCCCACCCCTTTTGTATAGCCACTATACAAGGCTTTGCCATGCTATGCTACCGTGCACTGATAGCCGAGTGGTAACGATGCACGCCTTTAGATTGTGAGTACGCTGGCTCAAATCCCGCTTCATCGGGAAATTTTTTAAAGACGATAGTCTTTCTTGGAGAAAAAAGTTTTGGTATGTCTGTCTGTACATTCGCCTGTTTGTCCGCCCTAACGATACCTCAAACAGCACACCACATCCGCAGCGCCCACCAATATTGCTCAAGGTTTAGCGTTCATCGTTGTGCGATTGTCAATTAAAAAAGCAAATATTGCGCATATCTGAGGTGCCATAACAACATGTCTATTTTTTGTATGTCTGCCTTTATACTAGAAGAGGCACACACAAGTAACGCTGAACACTGTATCGTTTAACGCGCTGCGCTGACAGTCCAACGCGATGCTCAAGAAGGTGTTTCCAACGCTTTGCTACGACGGCACGATGGCGGCACCTGCCCGTCGCTTTGCATTCTACACACACCTCCGTGACCAGCGCGCATCTTTCTCCGCGGTCGCGCACGCCTTCGTTTTCGAAGATAACTGCCAGATGGCGCTCGTGCTTAACGTGTTTAGATGCGCTTGTTCGCCTCCGTTACACGCTCGAGGCACTCTAACGCAGCGCCTCCAGAATACCATTCACCGATTTTCTTGCGCAGAACATCCAACAAACGTTTTGTTCACTGTCTCCGGACGCAAGACTGTCGTCTTTCGACGACATTTACAGTGTATCATGTAGATTCGGGCCAATTTTTTTCCGAGAATATCTTTCGCTCTATCTTTTCTGTCTCTTTGTATTTGTTATCTCACCCAATAGATTTATCCCATCCCACGCTGGAGAGATAAGCGCACGTGCCGAGCGAAGCAGTAGAGGACGAAGATACCGCCACGTGCCGATTCACAAATGCGATAGCTTTCCGTTCGTGGGACAGCTGGCATAAACAGCTCTCACGTTCAATGCCTGTCTCGATAAGGCGCAGTGAGCGACATCACGATAAATTCGGCAGTTGCACCCAAGTGACGGACTAGTGAAAGGCATTATGCACACAAATATTTCGGCTCTTACACCCCGTGAAGGTCACTGTAGACGATGGCGATGTCACCCACGCTGTCGACGACAGCCACCGATTCAGGCACACCAGGGTCACCGAGAGCATGACTGACGTCTACGGGTGGCGGTTGTAGCAGCTCGCCATCCACTATCCTGCTCGCCATTCCACCCTGCAAGGACACCCAGCAGGGTGGCATGGGAATATATTAGCTGTACATTATGCTTTCATGCCACTGTCGTTATGTACCGTCAAGTCGTTGGCGACTCCTAGTGGAACTATCGTTTTAAAGTGGCTAGGTCACCCTCAACCAGCTTAATCAGTTTTCTTATGGTCTGCTGTAACATTGTTTATGTTGCTGAAAATAAAGTCAACTTTTTTTTTTCGCCATGAACGCCAGTAAGATCTGCTTAACACAAACTATTTAAGCTACCTCGAAAGACTGTCCTCAAATCAATTATGTGCTCCCTGTAATAAAGATGATCTCAGTCAATACGACCGATGTAATTCAATTTGTTCGACGGCGTTGATCAACGTCAACCGACACGGTCATCAAAATCGACGACGGATACGAGAACGAGAATTTTAGCGAGTTTGTAAGACTGCAAATTAGGGCACGTATAGCACTAAAAAACAAGCCGGGAACATATACACGGAATGACCGCTGTATGTTCCTCGCGTGTGCCTTCGTACTTTCACGTTACCTGCTCCCATGAACGCTGTGAAATCGTAGTCTACATCTCCAGTACTTTCTGCACTTCGAGCATCACACACGGTCCAAGTTGAGAGCACACCGGAAGCAAAATCAGGTATGACTAATTCTAAAAAACGGGCTTCACTGTTATGCTTACAAATCAACAATGGGTCACAGTCTATTGGCTTTGCCTTGTCCGTGAGGTACCGTTTGTGGAACGTACATGTACTGGACAATGCAGCACAATATATTTGCTCAGAATACTATACGCGCTGAGTGGCAGGGCTGACATCTCTCGAAATGAGGAATAATTCACAAAGTATGATCATTTTGTGCCCAGAGAATTCAAAAGCGAAATATAAACATCACTCGTAAAATTAATCGCTGCCTTCAGACAAAACTTGGTCGAAGAACATACACTACGTCTGTTTGTGTTATTGTGCTTGTTCTATGACCATGGTGCATGTAGTTTGAATTATCTGACAATTTTGTACTTTCCCTCGCTCTCCTGTTTATATTTCATCGTGACCTCTACTATAATCGCAAAATAGCTAACCGGATAAAGCCAAACGAGTGAACTAACTTAGTTGTAAATGGCGATTATACCTGGGTGTCGTCGTAGAAAGAGGCCGTGGCGTGCAGCCGGCGGCCAAGGCTCTGCTTGAAAAGCTCGACGATCGCGCGGTACTGTGTGGGAAGGTCTTGCGCGAAGATCAGAGGACCCAGGGTGCGCAGCAGGGAGCCGGCCATCGCCAAGGCAGGCCCTCCACTGGGCGCAGCCGAAGTGAGCAACCACGAGCCGGCGCCGCACGACACGTTCGCAGCACTGTATTCGCGCGCCTCGTAAGAGGCCAAATCGTCGGCCGTCAGCAAGCCACCTGCAACGCACACGGCACCGCACAGCGGTTTTAGAAGATGATGATGAATAGAGGGGATCAACTAGAGGGAACTTACAGGGGATCAACAGCTACCATAGCGCTTAATAAAGAAAGCAGCAGAATACCAATCAAGAAGGGTGTAAGGCAGAGAGATAAAATCTCCCCGATGTTATTTACCGCGTGCTTACAGGAGGTTTTCAGAGGCCTAGAATGGGAACAGTTAGACATAAGAGTTAATGGAGAGTACCTTAGTAACCTGTGCTTCGCCGATGACATTGCATTTCTGAGTAACTCAGGGGAAGAATTGCAACTGATGATCACGAAGTTAGACAAGGAGAGCAGAAAAGTAGGTCTTAAAATTAATCTGCAGAAAACGAAAGTAATGTACAACAACCTCGGAAGAGAATAGTGCACTTGAAGTTGTAAAAGACTATGTCTACTTAAGACAGGTAATAACCGCGGAGCCGAACCACGAGACTGAAGTAACTAGAAGAATTAGAATGGAGTGGAGCACATTTGGCAAGCACTCTCAAATCATGACATGTAGATTGCCACTATTCCTCAAGAGGAAGGTATATAACAGCTGCATCTTGCCAGTACTTAGCTACGGAGCAGAAACCTGGGGACTTACAAAGAGGGTTCAGCTTATATTGAGGACGACGCAGCGAGCAATGGAAAGGAAAATGGTAGGTGTAACCATAAGAGACAAGAACAGAACAGAGTGAATTAGGGAACAAACCGGGGTTAATACACGTATCAACATCATAGTTGAAATCAAGAAGAGGAAATGGACATAGGCCGGGCATGTAGCACGTAGACAGGATAACCGCTGGTCATTAAGGGTAACTAACTGGATTACTAGAGACAGCAAGCGGGTTAGGGGGAGACAGAAGGTTAGGTGCTGGGCAGATGAGATTAAGAAGTTTGCGGGTATAAATTGGCAGCCGCAAGCACAAAACCGAATTGACTCGCAGAACACGGGAGAGGCCTTTGTCCTGCAGTGGACGTAGTCAGGCTGATGATGATGATGAGGATGACTAGAGACCGAGTTATAGGCCAATGCCTACTTCGTTTCTTGCGTTCCTATCGTGTCACTTTGATATATGAGCATGAGCTAAGCACGGGCCGCGATGTGAAGGGCTTTTATGTTGTTTTTATAGTGCCTATAAAGGCCTATTCTGAACGTTTTTGCCTAAGTTTCTATAAGTGCCTCTCAATGCCTTTTCAAAATTGGTGCCTATATGAACACTGTTTAACCTCAAATTTGGCGTTCTAGTACAGTTCGAGACTGGTATTTATGTTACAGGGCGAAATTCAGCTTTTGAAACTCTATGTGGTGCAACCTATACATCCCAGAAGTTCCTTTCAGCATTATCTAGGCTACAAAGCCCCTTGGCCCGCCATGTTGGGGCGAGCGCCCGTAAGATGAAGGGCAAGCGGCGTTCATTCTGACATTTCACCTCTTTTCGGGGCGCGTAGCGTTGCAAATCTACGCCGTCGAGATTATGGGTGCCCAGTGCACGCACTTCTCTAGCCCGCTAGAAATGCTCAAATCTGTGAGAGTTATGAGGTTCACAGACAGAGGAGAATTTGACCCTGTGTGATTAGACCCGGCTAATACGAGGCTAGAAGACACGCCTGGCCTGTTAGCGGTCTGGCTGTTCGCTCCTGTGATGCCCTTCTTAGCCATGCCGGAAAAAAAAAAAGGGGGGGGGGTGCATGAGCGTGTTTATTCGACAGTGGACACTTAATTTACTCGCCATTCTGGACAATATACAGCGCGCTGAGTGTCGTGTGTGTTACTCGGGTGGATGTGTGAGTGAAGATTGCGCGGTAATATCTTACAGTATGAATAAAAGGAAAAACCATGGTCTGAAGACCCTGCACGAAAGAAATTGCATGGCTATGATAAACCATTGTCGACTTTGTATCATCATAAAATAAAACGTTTATCTTCGCTTTACTGTCGTACATTCAGGTGCTGCACGTATTTATTCGAAATTAAAATGTTTGTAAATATTTATTGTGCTTATATTTACAACTTTAATGGCCTAAAACTGTGTTTTTTTTTGCCTGCCTATCTTTGGCGCCTAAAACGTAAATTTTAAGTGCCTGTAACTCCGGCCTCTAATGATGACTATTGACATTCACGTACGAGCCAATGAAGCCTCTGCAAATGTAATACGGTCGCTGAATTTTACTGTAGCAACCCGAGGCGCAGGCACGAGGGGTCACGGAGATGAAACTTCGCTACCACGCAAAGCGGGACGACGACGGAACTTTGCATCACGTATTGCGTGACCCTGTAGCGTCAAGCAACAGCGACTCGCTCGCTGGATTCTGTGCCGACCGGTTGTGCCTTCGCGATCTCCGACGACAGAGCAGCTCTGGCCGACTGGCTTGGTCCTACGCCCCCTCCTGCCGCCGGTCCCCTACGACGACGTCAGCGCAGCTCTGGCCTACTGGATGAGCCCTACGCCATCTGTCGCCGAAAAGAGCTCTCGCAACTGGTGCCCCGTCCTCGGACTCTTGTGACCGTGTTTCATCTTTCCCATCTCTCTTATGTCGTCGCTCACTGTCCTTGCGCATCTTTCTCTCTCTCTCTCTCTCTCTCTCTCTCTCTCTCTCTCTCTCTCTCTCTCTACCTTCAATCCTATCCTTTTAATCCCTCCTTACCCCCATCCCTTGTGAGCTACTGTAGACGTGTCGCACGCTGATGCAGACAGTTACGGGGCTCACTTTTCTTTTCTTTTCCCTCTAATAACCACAATCTCTCCACCATCTCTCTCTCAAGCAACAGCAATACAGAGCGGCACAGTGCTGTTTGTGCTCTCTAGAGAAAGCATCACGGTGTTAATTCCATCACGAGCGCTGACGGACCACCAGATGAATAAGAAGTACAAGCAAGCACGAGAGATGAAACGGGATCCTCCGAATAGTGGCAGGGTCTTTACGGTCTTTGCAGTGTAAATAAAAGTCTCTTTTAGGGGCGAACCTCCACCTATAGTCTGACCCTGTGCTGCGTCAGGCGTAACCAGCAGTATCAGAAAAACCGACAGACATAGGGACGGACCGACGCACGGACGGATGCTCGGACGGATGGACGGGTGGGAGAATGAACGGACGGACGCTTCACCTCACTCATCCTCATTTACTCCGTTGATTTGCTGTAATTTTTTTAACTACGTCGATGGAATCGAATTCTTCGACGACTGCTCCACGCCATATCCCAAACAACGGAATACTGCCGGCCTGTTTGATTGAAACGAGCCCTAGATCACCACGTTAAACGATCCAGTTCAACTGCTTGTCTCTTGCCTGTGGTTCAGGCTAATACAATCTTAGGTGCTGTGGGCTAGGCTCACAGCATTTAATAAACTTGCAAATGCACAAGGTAGCCCGCACTTTGCTTCCGAAAGCGTACGACAGCTGATTGCAGATGGACATAGCTGATATGTTAGAAAGACCCAGCCTACAGGATGAAGAGGAGACATATACCTGCAGCCGCGATGTCCCGCAGCAAAAGCTTGGCGATGACGCCGGTGTAGAACTCCTTGGCTCCCAGTTTGGCCACGCGGCGCAGAGTCTCCGACAACGACGGTCGCCTCAGGGTCTCGCCCGCTCGTAGCAGCTCGTCGTTGCTTCCCTCGCGCACAAACTCCATCCTGCGCGACAACCAATTCCATTCGTGGCATCGCGGCTTCCTAGTTTCTCAGTAAATGCGTTCAAATCAATGCTCCCTAAGGTAAGTCACCACTGTCAAAAACACAATTTTCGAAAAATATTATTTTGAATTTAGAATTTTCAAGTTCACTTGCTATTCATGAATGTTTAGCAAAAAAAATTGAGTTGTTATTTTAAGACGTCCATAGCTTACGGCCATTTTTAACGATAGCTTCCCTGTTCAACCTCTCACCCAAAACTGCACGTTTCTGATCCTACGGCACCTCCCATTTCATTCTAAATGTCTATTTGTATGCATATTACGTAATGCCGCGTTGTCTAAGAACGTTCGAAAGCTTGCGGGACATGATGTTTTCGTTTTGTTTAAAGGAGGAAGATGAGGGTAGAAGAGAAAGGACAGGGAAGTTAGCCAATTCTTAGATAGGCTGGCCAGCTTGTACTGGGGAAGAGGGTAAGGGAAGTGAAAGATTATAGAAAGCAGATATTAAAAAAATTCGGCAGATTTTCTATACCTGGGAGTCGACGTTACCGTGGGGAGAGAAGGTGACTGTGTTGCGTTTTTTTTAATTGAGTGGCACGCCATTAAATGACGCTAAATATATGTACAAATGTTGCACGCAGAGACATATGTTGAAGAGTTGCACATGTTTATATAACCAGTTCTTTGCACTTGCGCAACGATGCCAACTAGAACATGCGTATTAGCAACACCAGAAGCTGATATTGGGCACAATACACCAACAAGCCCAAATTTCAACAGTGCCGATATAAAGCGCTGATGTTCGCGAAGATGCTGGCCCTGGACACTGCTAGATAAATCAGCTTCAGCGCATGGCAACTAACCACAATTGACGATAATTCGATGTGACAGCTGTATCAAAGGAGTACATATGTAATGTTTATAAAATCGGGTAGGTGGCATTGTAATCATTATTGACGTTTCCCGAAAATTAGCGTCTATTTGAAAAGTATTTCCGAGACCTGGCGTAGCTCTGTGGCGAAATGCTTCATTGCCACGCAGAGTGCTAGGGTTCGATTCTAGCTGGCTCCATGACTTTTATTCTTTGCATTCGTCGGGTCGACGCTACCAATGTCGGGTATTTCTTAACGCTCGCGCGCTAAAATTGCCCATGTGTGTTCTCGTCGTTCTTGGGTAGTTACTGTTGTTGTTGATCTCCTATTGTTAGTGGCGCATACCCACTGTAGGGGATTGGCCAAGAATTGAGTGGTTTCAAAATTTACTGTTCAGATTTGGAATGATGAAGGTTTAACAAAAAGAATACCGATAGCCTAGGAAAGTGTGGTGCTTAATGTAATGCATAAAAATATTTACATAAACGAATTTATTCTTAGAATAGAGCAATAATCTGATTTTATACGTACATCATTATGTGGACATGTTAGGATAATGAAACTGGTTAATTAGTCAACCTATTAGTTTCATCAATATAGTCCCGGACGGCCACGCATACTGTCGCATTAGAGAAACCAGAAATGGAAGCTCCAAAAGACAAAATGACAGGCAGAGATAAGTCCATACCAATACCACGTAAAGGTATTTTTAATAGGGTTTTTCGTAATGTGTTAAAACGCCTGCAGGTCAAAAAGAAATGGTTTATTGTTTCCAGTTCATCACAGAATGCACACAGTGGCGAAGGTGCCTGAGCAGACCTGTGTTTATAGAAATTTAAATTTGGTACCCGGCAACGCAGCCTTGTTATAGCTACTTCTTGTTTTCGAGTGCGGCAAAAGTCTCTTCGCCAGGGATATAATAAATGGCGATATTCTGTAGAATTTGTTCTACAGAATATCGCCATTTATGGGTGGAAATAAAGGCTGTTTCTGAATGTCGTAATGGTGATTCATAAATTCTTAAGAATGTCTGAACAGTCAGAAGGCGAATTCGACGAGAAAGCGGAGGGACCCTCGATTCGAGATACAACACATTGTTGGCAACTGTTTTAGGAAGGCCAAGGCATAAGCGCAAAGCTTCTCTTTCCAGAAGAATTAGAGGCCGCAACTTGTAAGCTGGAACTCCAGAGAAAAGTACACAACCAAATTCCAAAATGGGACGAACGTACATGCGATATATCATTATCAATGTGTCTCTTCTCATACCTATGCGGTAATTGCTTAGCCTACGTAATATGCCAATGGCCTGCACACCTTTTCCGGCGATATATTCGATATGAGGTCGCCAGTTAAGGGATGTGCGATAAATTACTCCAAGGTATTTAACATATTCCACCTGTGGTATATCCTCATGATGGTAAGACAGAAAGATGTTCACAGGGTATTGTAACGGGAAAACAAGTAGGGCACATTTACTGAGTTACTGAGTGTCAATTACCTGTGGCACATACAAGCATTACAAGTGGCTGATACTCGCCCGTGGGCATGTGCCACTGTCTGGCGGGAAGTGTTTGACGACGTACGTGACGGGATTGTGACATTATTAAATGGGAATCATTTCTTAGCAAACTTCAGCAACTTTGAGCGTATCCGTCCATCCGTCCGTCCATCCATTCATCCATCTAGCCGCTTACGTTAGCGTGCTCTCGTGGTCACCCCTTTAACTTAGGCGTGAACCAAAATTACCATAGGATGGTAAGAAGCTTTCGTGCTACGGCGAACGGTGATACAAAACGAAACCTGCCGTATATCAACTTCAAAAGTAGGTTTACAATACCACATCTTCGCTTAGAGATGAACTGGTGACTGTGGTTAAATGCACAGTTTATTCTCTTTTTTATGTATAGCTGCTAAGACGCCTTTGATGTATGCCCTACCATTTTGTAGTTATGACGATTTGCGCAACGCGCATACTTTGGCCCATTTCAATGTTTATAAATTTTATCATTGTAGAGTTTCGAACTACCTACGCCCTACAAACCAAAGATATAACTATAAGTTTTAAACAACAGCTGTAATTTTCTTTTTCGGAGGTGGTGACCTGTATTAAGATAAACAATGTGATGTTTCACGATCACAGCTAAAGGTGCATAGTATATTCACAAAGGGTAATACTAATCAGGTTATTGAGTTCAAATATTTTTCGCAGCATGCGATCTCAGCCTTTACAGTTAAATCGACCGAGTGTAGCCAACGGTATGTGGTCAAGCGCACACCTGAGGTCTGGGTGGTTCCAGAGGTCTCCACTCTTTCCAGACAGGACGCGTCCCAGGGACTCGGTCACGTTGAAGCCGCGCTCGCAGAGGTCAGCCACAGGGTCCAGCTTGTAGTGCCACGCAAGTCGGCCGAACCTCTTGTTAGCCAGCTCCAGGCCGGCCAGCACTCCGGGCGTGCCCAGTGTCTCTGCCTCTGTTCGCGAGAACGGAGGTATACCAGTTATTTCATGTCTCTGGGCATAGGAGAATTGGCGACCACCCGTTTTTAGCACTAAGCGAGAATGAATTGATAAACTTTATTAAAGCCCGTACAGTTGCCTTCAAGCTGAGGTGGGGCGAAGAGGGGATTACTCAGAAACAAATTTGTTGGTTGCGAAAAAATTTAGTCTTGGTCCTGCGATCCCAACCCCGAACCTGCAACACATGCCTTTATCAAGGCGGTCGCTCTACCATTTGGTATAGCGACCATCCCGGAAAGGCGTTCTAGGAAGTCTTTCACCTCTCCTTCACAAGTTCGATCCTATATATTCGTACGCAAAGTGTAGAACAAAAACCTAAGCAAAATAAAATGATCAGTACTGCATATTGATGAGAGGGGAAAGAGTGGGCAGGTGATAGATTTCCTTCCCCCTCTCGACATTTCAACAAGTGTGAAATTATCGCTTATCACATTTTTTAGCTTGTAACTTCAATAGTCCTGAATGATCAACTGGATATGTTAATCTAATCGTGGCTTTACATATGTTACTCCAGAGTGAACTCAGCATTGCGAGGAGGGGCTCCACAAGGTAACGTTAATAATACATACTGAACTCTTTAACGTTGAAGTATACGGCAGCACGCTTGCTGTTAAAAACAACGTAAAAAAAAAAACAGTAGAAAAACGCAAAATGAGCTCTTTGTTTTCTATATTTTTGGAGGGAGGGGGCGAGGGGTTTGGACATTTTTGATGTTCGTTCTGTGTGTTTCCATGTGAGCGCGTATGTGTGCGCATACAAAATGCAAAGATTTTGAGGGGTTGGGACGCTGAACCGCCCTCGTAAGGCATTGATCCCCAGGCTCCCAGTATGCTGAATGTTTCAAGCATCTTCCAAGTTTTTGCGCTTATCGCTAAGCAACTTGATCGTGCGTAATCGAAAATGTGCTTTTCAGATGATATCAAGTGTGTGTGCTAACTGACGGACAATCGGTGTGTAGGTGATGATTTTTCTCGCGGCGTCGTTTTCTTTTCAATATATATTTTACAAATCTGTAGTGAGTGCACGAATAAAAATATATTAAGGTCTTGCTTGTGTTGCCGATGTTCGTTTCTTCATTAATTATTTTTTTCTCTGCAATTTTGTCACATCGTGTTCACACTTCGTGTCCTACGCTCGAATATTATTCAAATACTACGGGTGCTGATGGCAGGTTGTTGGCTCATGCTATAGTGTGCGTCAAGGCAATGTGCATCACACGACAGCTGCAATGTTTTCGTAATACATTCGTTCGCACTGGACACGCAACAACGGCAGTTCATACAAAAAAAAAAGAATGTAGAGGAAATTACAACCTTTCCAGACGCTGCCCTGTTTCTTGATGGAACTCTTCTACGGACAGGTTCTTGGGGGCGGACGGCAGAGCGTCGATAACGTGCGCCTGCCTGGTCGTCCTTTGGAAAGAGAAGAGTTCACATACATCTTATTGGCAGATATGTGCCAGGCTCCCTGTGAAATGTAACGGTAATATGACAGGCACATTCAACATTCTGAAGTAGCCGAACCCGACTATATCGTGCTCAGTTAAAGCAAACTGTCCTTGTCATCGAACTATTTTCGAACACGGCAATGCTTTAACTTCAATTATAAGGCACTATACGGCTACATTGAACAAAGACAGCCGGGAGATGGACTTGCTCACCGAATTTCATGCCGACCGGTTGTGCCCCCGCGATCTCCAACGACAGCGCAGCTCTGGCCGACCGGCTCGCCCTACGCCATCTCCTGACGCCAACAAGAGCTCTCGCCGAGTGGTGCCCCACCCTCGGACTACTGCAACCATGTCCATCTTTCCTATCTTCTCCTTACTTTCGTATGTCGCCGTTCCTGCGCCTGGCTCTCTCCTTCCGTTCTCTCTATCTCCATACTTTTTAATACTATCCTTTTAATCACTCCTTACTCCCACCCCTCGTTAGCTTCTGTTGAGGTGTCCTCCCCTGAGAGACAGTTACGGGGCTAACTTTTTTTCTTCTTTCCATTTAATGATCACTTTCTAGATAGCCGGGACACATCATGCACCGAGCTTAGGTAGCTCGGAGCATCGCAACTTGGCTTCGTCTCTCAGAAGGCTTCTCAGCAGAGAGAGAGAGAGAGAGAGAGAGAAAGAGAGTAATGTAAAAAGGAGGGCGCCGGGCAGAACCGGCAGAAATACCGCCTGCCACCATATGCCTTATCCCGTAAACTCACCATCGGCCCTAGCGTGCGCTTGCCGTTCGCTTCTCCGCTATCGTCATCTCCCATTTTTAACGCAATGCATGCCGTGAAACGGAAGAACCTGCTCTTCTGCTTAGTACTGGCGCTAATCAAAGCAGTCAAACGCAGAGAAAAACAGTCTGATGTCGTTGCTGCGTACGTCATCCCAGAAGCGTGCTTAGTACTGTGTTCGAAGAAAGAAAAGGTCGGGGCCAAAGGCTGACTCTTCCGGACGCTTCCGGCGCCGAAACGCTTCATACGCGCAGCTGCGTATGAGTATTTTGAGGCGTTGTTTGCATCTATGACGTATTTTCTCGGGTATGACCTGTTCCCCCAGCTACAGACAGCGGCAACAACAAGAACAGATGGAAACACCGTAAGACGATCGTAAGGCCACTTGAAACGAGCGCATATCAATTTTAATTACTTTCTCGAACGATAGCAGACTGAAACGAGCCTCCATGTGACGTAGTTAGCCTATTGTCACTTCATGCCTTCACAAATGCAGTAGAAGGTTTTGCGTGATCAACGTTTCACGCAGCCCTTTTCATTCTTTGTGTTTTTACAGCTGGAAATGTATGCGGAACTACTTTCGCGGTATGCGTCCCATGGGCGGAAAGTGCCCTTCAGTTCACATTATTTGATTTTCTATCGCTAATCTTATCACTCAAGTTGTGCACTCTTTCTCGATATTTCGTACACCCATTTCGGGTGTTCAGTCACGCGCTCCTGTACGTTTTAGTGTTCTTTTGTCCTACCTCAGTGTATTATTGCAAATGCCGTTGGTCTTGATTTTCATGCCCGCGCCTTCACTTCACCTTCGGACGCAAGTGTTCTTATCGTTGCTTTTCTTCCGATGTGTATTTTTTTATCTTTTTGTCAAACGATAGATTGTGTAATATTTATCTATTTATTGACGGAAAGAAACAGATTGTGTAATATTATAATGTGATGTGCCCACTCCTGTCATGGCTCACAAATACTGTCAGCCGGCAGTATCTGATAAAAGAAGAACAACAACGACGACGACCACGATGACGAAAACGACAACTATATATACCCACGCGTTGCTGTAAAGCCGCCACACTTTCTTGCACTATCGCGAAGCAGTGCCATTAAGTCAGCTTGCGCACACAATTTGGTCGAAAATTTTGTTAACTCTCTTCAAATGATTTGAACAAACTATATTGCAGGTCAAATGTAATTAATTTTTATTATACAATATATGCGCGTTCGAACGCATGTACTGAGCCCCCCCCCCCCCCCCATTCTCTTTTTTCTTGGCTTCTCGGCAGGAGAAAGACGGCTGCTGTGTTTTTTTTTTTTAGGGACGAAGCTCCTCAAAGCGGCACCAGTTCGTCCCTCGTAGTACGTAACATGTTTTACGCTTTGACCTCCATGGGGATGCCGGTGGGAGATTTCTCCTGTGCGTTGTTGAACAATAAAAAAATCGCAGCGTTCGCGTTAACTAAAAGCCAAATTCTTCTGTCTCTCATTCCCCATTAACAGCCATTGGCATGTACATTGAGCAGTATCTGACAAGAAAAGGTTGCTACGTTATACTTGCTGGACGTAACCACCTTTGTTTCAGAAAGGTTTAGCGAGCGTTGGGCCGCAGTGCCACGAATACAGTGAACTAATATACACCATGAACTCAAGGTGGTTGAAGGTGGGAAGTAAACCCGAAGCGCCAGCCGTAAGAAAGTGTGCGCGTGCCACCTCTCGTTTAGTCCTTGGAATGTCTGCTGGATGGCGGTGCTTTTATATGCGGAATATATAATGAAAAGATGCGAGATTGTTGTACTTGGAGTGTTGACTAGATGGACGAATGGACACACAGACAGATGCATGGACGGACGCACGGATGGCTGCACGAACGGATGGACGCATGGGCGGACGCAGGGTGGATGCATAGACGAGCGCATGGATGGACGTGCGGACGCACGTACAGACGCACGCATGGACGGGCGGATGGACGCATGGGCGGACGCATGGATGGACGCACGGACGGACGGAAGCAAGAACGAATGGACGGACGGCTGCTTCGCACCACTCTCCATCATCCACCCCGTGGATATGCTGCCATTTTTTTTTTTCAGCTCAAGCCAAGATAGTCGGCTTTCCTAGCATGCTTTCGCTCGCACGTGTACAACGTGCGACGCTCTGTTGTTTTCCACTATATACGGAACCTCACGGTGGCGCTTTTCTCACAAGGTCTATGGCAATAAAAAAAAAATATTTGTGCGAATGGGCAGTGATGGCAGCAGAAGCGTAGAAAAAATATATTATTTATTGCAAATTTTCAATCAACGCCAGGTCATATTTCAGCGTCTGACCAATGCATTTGACTATGCCACCCACCACGAGTTGCCTTATCTGCTGCTTTCATTTTTTGTTCCCTCTTAGGAATACTAAGATTGTAGTAGAAATGAGCTAGCATTTGTAATTAATTATAAAGTATTGATAGACAATACGGTTTAGTTACTTTGTGTTTATTTGTACGAAAAGCAGACCAACTAACTTTATAAAACCCTAATCTGTGTTAGTGAGAGATACTGCATTTCCGATGGAGGCGGAAATGTTGTAGGCCCGTGTGCTCAGATTTGGGTGCACGTTAAAGAACCCCAGGTGGTCTAAATTTCCGGAGTCCTCCACTACGGCGTCGCTCATAATCATATAGTGGTTTTGGGACGTTAAACCCCACATATCAATCAATCAATCTAGTGAGAGATAGCCGACCACAATGCTGAAAAAGCATAGGGTGAATTATATGTAATAAAGAACTAAATATGAAGAAAGTAAAGTGGAATAAACGACACCTTAGATTGCAGGTTCGGTTTTTCCAAGTAATCTTTTCATCCACTTTGCTTTCTCCACATTCACATAATGCTGTGTCTAAAAAAAAAAAGCCCTTGAAATTCCCCTTGCTTTCTTTAGTCTGTACTATAGCATATATAAAGATTGTACAAGGAGCCCCAGCTAACCCAAGCGAAGGTTTTAAAATTATGCCGAAACGCTCTATTACGACGCAACCAAATGCTGACTATTGCATGGAGGAAGTAAGAGTATGTTTTTGTGTGTTCTGATTAATGGCTTAATTATCCAATGTTAACTTGACGCCTTTTGAAGCAACGGATCTAGAAGAAAAAAAATCAAGTGAGAAAATTGTGCATGGGTTCGTGAAACATCCAATTACACAGTTCTTATTGCTTTCTGTCTGACAAGAAATAGCGTTTTTCTGCTTATCACAAATTCTGGAGAAATGCAAACAAGAAAAAAAAAACCTGTGGAATCCCCGCTCGCACGCCGCGATTGCAGCACTCTCAATTGTTCCGCATAGCATTCAGCCACGTGTGGTAGTGTGTTTGTGATGACGATGCGCCTGTTACTTGAAGCCGCGCAAGCAGGGGCGCAGACAGACGTTTTCTTTTTCTTTTTTCTGGCTTCTTTGAAGTGGTCATTTTTCACACTGCATTGAAGAAGGGGGGGGGGGGGGGCATGGGCCTGGTGTGCCACTCCCTGGCTAAGTTACTGCGCACAAGTGATGACCAGTGCATCTATCTATCACAGTCCTGAACGGCCGCAATGGAAGTACAGTATGGTCCACTGTAGAAGGGAACACTTGAATGCACACCATCAATATTCCTGGCCCTCTAAGAGCTAGTGGATTAAGAAACAATCTTCATACGAGTGAATAGTCTGTCAAGAGGAGTCGGAACTTTTAACCACCAGTATCCTTATGTGTATCTAAGCTGCTATAGTATGATTACGTAAGGTAGCGAAATCTAAACATGCTGCTCACGCAGGTGTTCCCTTTAACAGTGGACCCGTCTGTACATATCATATGCACGCGGAACAGTAGAGAACTCTTCAGTGAAGGCGCGCACGCGGGTGTGTCACGTGGTATTTTTCGTATTTCGCGAGCATCTGTAGTAAACAGAACAACACTAACAGATAAAAAGTTAGGAGCCGTGTAATAGGACGTTTTGCAAACTGATCTACAACTTCCTTATCGGAAACTTTTCTTGCAGCTTCGTATCTTCAAATGTTGGTTACTTATTGTTGTATAATTAAACAGCTGAGCCATAGCACAATAAAATGGTATGATTTGCACAAAGTAATGGATAGCAACACGCATTTGGCCATGTGTTCATACAGTTTATCAGCATATTTTTACGCTCTGGCTGGAGATAGCAAAGGCGCCCTGTACAGTGTACACTCGGCTAAATATTACCGAGTGGTTAATAACTCGAATGAAAAGCGATCGGTTGTAGAATAAATGATTGATTGATTGATTTGTGGGGTTTAACGTCCCAAAACCACTATTTGGTTATGAGAGACGCCGTAGTGGAGGGATCTGGAAATTTTGACCACCTGGGGTTCTTTAACGTGCACCCAAACCTGAGCACACGGGCCTACAACATTTCCGCCTCCATCGGAAATGCAGCCGCCGCAGCCGGGATTCGATCCCGCAACCTGCGGGTCAGCAGCCGAGTACCTTAGCCACTAGACCACCGCGGCGGGGCTGTAGAATAAATGAAACACTGACCACGTGCAAATCGCCGGAATTTCAGAGAAACCAATCTTTCAAAAACAGCGAAAAAAGAAACTTGACATTTTAGGGTCTATCGCATGCGGTTCAGTACGCAATAACATTGCATAACTCAGACTTCTTCCAACGAACGCAACAAAATGCGTGCGGAAATGCAGATTAATGCTGTTCAAATTTCGTACAGGAACGAAGAGCGGTGACTATGCGTGTAATGAGCGGCAAACTAAAAAAAAACTACTTTTGTAGCCAGGCGAGGACGCATAACAGGCCAGCTGTCACAAAATTTCTCTATCAGTAAATTCATTATGTGTGAGTAATCTATGTATAGACGGAGATAAATTATTACAAGGCCACGGGGATGATAATGATATGCAATTTCATTATTAAAAGTTATCAAACAACATTTTAGCATATGACACGTGGCCGTGCAGTGGTTTTCGCTATGACGTGGATCCTGACATTTCTAGAATTCCAAAAGCGTCCGTAGGTACAAGCTATATGTATTGGCGACAACTCATCTCTAGCTAATGCCGAGAGTCGGCGCGTTTTTGCTCATACCTATGACGTGCGTCACTTGCGGTAGCAGATAACAGCAGCGTATAACTTTTTAAAGACAACGACTTCAAACGTTTTATGAGAACTAACTGCGCGCACATAGAGTCACGAGGTACACAAAATGCGTAATCAGTTTTTCACTGCGGCGTTCCCGTGTCTAAATAATTTCTTTCTTTTACAAGTAGAGTTCGCGCGACCCTGACAACGCCACGTGATCACAGTTACGATCAAGGCGTGCAAACTGCGCACTCATTTCGTCTTTACAGCGTCCACACGACTAAAAAAAAGTGACAGTTTTGCCACGAAGGCGAATAAATGAACGCGATAGCAACAAATTGGAAGGTCACACAAAAAATGGCAAGCAGATCGTAACGTTCCCCGCGTTTTCTCACGCACAAATGACGCAGGAAATGTACTCACAGGCACATATAAACGCCAGTAAACGTCTCAGTTGCTACTTCGCTGTGTCTGAAAAGCGCGCCCTCTTCGCAAACGGAGACTGTGCAACGAGTGCAGTGACCTTTGTGTGCCCGGCAGCTACAACAGAATCGTTTCGGGGAAAGCCCTAGGCGTACGATTGTCCCCACTACGAAATAAACGCCCCCCCCCCCCCCTCTTCGAGGGGCAAGGAGATGAGAGCGCGCGCCGCCGCGCCATGACGACCTGGCGACGTGCGCTCATTGCGTCATCTCGCTGGTAATGCTGAAAATACGATAGTTCCCCCGGTGCCTATCGCCAGGGGGAAGTGGTAGCTATAAATAGCTTGACATTTCAACGTTGAAAGAGGTGCTCCTTCATGGCCCAGTGGACAACGCCTCGCACTCACAAGCAAGAGGTCGGACGTTCAATTCCGCGCCCCGGAGTCTTTTTTTTAGATTACTTTTTTTCTCGCGTTTTCATATATATATAGATGCGTATATATACACGGTGAATGACGCCGGCGGCAAAATCTAGCCGAGAGTGTCAATATAAATGCTATCGCAATGAAACGGAGTCTGGCTGAATTCACCTTCACGAGGACGTGAAAGCGAGGTGATGTAGAAAGAGACGTTTAGGAAGTGGAAGCCGCACAAAAGCGAGTGAATTCAAGCATGATATGAAATTGACATGATAATAGAGCAACTTACGTAAGCAGTGCATGGCAGCTAATATGCGAAATTCCACAATTTAAGTTAGCGGCAATCATTGACTTATGTCATTATAATCAGGGCAAACTAGGTGAGAACTGAGTTAATCAGCGCGCGTTGCATTAAAATGTTTAATCAGTGAACGATAACCGGCATATAGAGCACGGCGAAATAGACACATCTGGTACCTTTCGCTTTGCACTCATTTCAGGTGAACGCATAAGAAAACTGTTCACGTAGCACAAAATTCTTAGTGCGAGACAAGAGAAGAAACGAAGATGAGCGTTAACTTCAATAGTTTACTTCGCAAAGCAGGCCTGTAGTTACGGGCGAGGGGGGGGGGTGCCCCAGGCCACCCCCCACGTAATTAGAATGGATGGGTGGGGGGGGGGGAGGGTGTCTGACACACGCTTCAGACACCCGGCCAAACTTTAAGAATTTGCTGAACGCCCAGCCATCTTGAACTGGTGGCTGCGTTCATACTTGTGAACACTGTCGGCCAAAAAACTAATATTGCGCATATCTGAGGCTCAACATCAATACTTAAGTGTAAGGTGGTAGGTTCATTAACTGGAAAATACGTAGATGCGTGATTCTAAATACACGAGTGTTTCTTACGCTGCCATGAAAATGCAACGCTACGCAAAAAAAAAAAAAGACGGCCGGCAGAATACTCTTTTTCTCGACTGATTACACTTGCAGCGAAGCACGCAGATACACGGTCATTTTCTAACACGAAAGCGTTTTATGCTGGGGTCCACCACGGCTCCGCTGATGTACTTCCATCACGGAAGTCAAGTTGAAAATATACTAAGAGATTGTAAAAAAAACATCAAAAAACCAGAAGGTAAGCATTTGCGCGCGCAATTTAACCAGCAACCTTTCGATTCTCGGAGCGCCGCCTCCATGGAGCGTGGTCTCTCCTGCGCGCGCTCTTGTCAGACTCGTAATTCGGGAGAGGTCGAAGGTCACATCGCACGCTGCCGCGGCCACGTTTGCGAAAGGGGCTGCGCTGCTGACACACGACGCAGAAAGAACTTGTGGCAGTTGTTCGTGCTTGTCCTGTAAATGCTTGTGCACTAGCTTCGTCTTTCAGTTTGAACTGCGCGCTTTGAAGGGGCACTAAGGTCAAATAACAATTTACGCCATAGTGAAAGCGCAATGTATTATAACATCTAAAACAACAATGATAACAACAGTTCTTTACTTACCGAGAAATTAAGTTAAATACACAAGAACACATGCGCCGCAGTAGGATTCTCAAAATGATTCTGAATACGACAGACGGGCCGCCCACAAATAATCACTAGAAATTGATCTAGCTGCTTTAAATAAAGAACCTTCCGTACATCAAGAGACGCAATAAAATGCTGATTGTTCGTTTCTGTATGGTTGATGAAAAAAAAAAAAACGCCGGACGTTACTACGTGGAATGACGCGAGTGGTTCGAAAATTAAATTTTCGCTTAGTTACACCGGACAAGTGGTGTTAACTAGCGGGGCGCGGTTGAACCAAAAATACGTCTGCATTGATTGATTTGTGGGGTTTAACGTCCAAAACCACTATTTGATTATGAGAGACGCTGTAGTGGAGGGCTCCGGAAATTTTGACCACCTGGGGTTCTTTAACGTGCACCCAAATCTGAGTACACGGGCCCACAACATTTCCGCCTCCATCGGAAATGCAGCCGCCACAGCAGGGATTTGATCCCGCGACCTGCGGGTCAGTAGCCGAGTACCTTAGCCACTAGACCACCGTGGCCGGGCCAAAATACGTCTGCAATCTTGGAGCCAATGGAGGGAAATTGATCAACGGCCGTTGTTGCTGCTGTGGCTCTCGCTGATTTCGGCAGTAAAGCCAGGCCACGTTGCGCCCGGCAACAGTGACGTGAGTCGGTCCGGTTGGTCCGCTTATTGAGGCGGGTAACTTGAATGCGCTAACCTGATGCGGACCACTAAAACATGATTTTATTTCAAAATAGGCCCTCCCTTGGCACAAAAGTAACACTACGAGGTTTCCGCACTGCTATTTCAACAATCAACGTCGACATAATAGTTTCCTTTAGTGTCCCTTCAAGTAGTCACGCTGCGACAGTTGTTTGGCCACGCTAGTCCTGTGTATGCTAATTTCGTTGCTTGCTTTCTACTTGAGGTGTGCGCTGCAAGTTTCGAGCTGCTGCCCGTTCTTAACCTGAATTTGCAATTTGTTGCTACTTCTGAAACAAGGCATAATAAATGCTCAACTACATCTGTAAACACACGTTTCATTTTCGTGTTATACCAATTCCTATATAGGGGGATCAGACACTTTTTTTTTTTTTACTAAGTGTAAAGGATTGCACAGAACTTGAATTACAATCACCGAATCACAATGAGGCAAAGTTCAGTAGGCAGGAATGAAGGAAGACCAGAAAAAAAAATCTTCATTAAGATAAATGTGTCGTTACCTGTTGTAGACGAGCATGACGAGCCCACCACCCAAGCTCCACGTCTGCGGCCTCAATGCTACGTTACACACACTCAGAGCAATTGCGGCATCCACGGCGTTTCCCCCGGAGTCCAACAGGTCCCTGCAGACGACAAGAGAATCGAGTTCGTGCGGTCGTCACAAAGCAGGCAGATTCATGAACGCAAAAATTATACAAGGTGTGTCCCTTCATATCATGGCAGAACAGCGCCGAGACGGCACACTGGACACAACGCTGACTATCAACTGCTTTTTTTTTTTAATTTGAAAGTCAGGCAAACGAACAAAGCAGCGAGAAATGGCTGCGAACGTCTTGGCTGGCCGTCATAACCATCGATGTCGATAAGAGTTTACAAGATGCGGCAAAAGCAGATTTTATGAAACCGTAAACACGAGCAAAAACAACAAAGCGGATCATGGCATGGCGGTCGCTACAAAACTGATGAAAACGGCTAAAACTGTGCATATTCGAAAATCTATGAACTCCAATAACAAATGTCTAACAAAAAGGTTCGTAAGTAAGTGACAAAAAGGCCAGAAATCTGCAACCAAAAAGAACAAAATAATACAGGAAACAAGAAAATAAAATAAAATTATGTGATTACAAATGAGAGTCGAGGTAGCTAATTTTTTTGTCAGTGCTACTGATGGCTTACTAACACAAGCACATGCCCTTTTGCGAATTATGTGCGCCTCCCAGAACTGGCTATAGTATATTGATCGCGGTATTTCTTGAGAACTTGCCCATTGTCAAGCAATGTGGAGAAACCACGTGATGTATACCGGTCGTGAATGGTTATTCGGTTCGCCGATAGATGACGCCGAAAGTGAAAGTGTTTTCTTTCGCTGTCGGTTGATGACGCTGTAAACGACTGCCGCAGAAAAGGGTTCCTAGTAGTACATCAACAGGCCCAGATGGCATTCCAATTAGGCTGATAAAGACATTAGGTCCGAAGTCTAAGCAGGCTTTGAGAGAGGCAGTGAGCAAAATAATAATCGATGGTGAAGTTCCCGATGGATGGAAACTTAGCAGGATGAGCATGATCTATAAAGGAAAGGGGGACAAAGCTGACATAAACAACTACCGTCCCATAGCACTGTGACATCAGTGGTCTACAGGCTGGCGATGCAGATTATAAAGGAAAGACTGCAGGCATGGATAGAAGATGAGGGGGTGCTGGGGGAACTGCAGAATGGGTTTCGGAAACACAGGAGGTTGGAAGACAATCTGTTATCACTGACGCAGTGCATCGAAATAGCAGAAAAGGAACACAGGCCCCTGTGGCTAGCATTCTTGGATATCAAGAGAGCGTACGATAGCGTGGTTCAAGAGGAATTGTGGGGAATACTGGACACACTAGGCGTGGAACATGTAGTCACTAATCTTTTAAAGGGTATCTATAAAGGTAACAAGGTAGTTATAGAGTGGGAAAAACAGGTATCCAAGCCTGCAGAGGTAAAACGGGGTCTTAGGCAGGGGTGCCCCCTGTCACCCTTATTATTCATGATGTACCTACAAGGATTAGAGGCAAAATTAGAGGGAAGTGGACTGGGCTTCAACCTCTCTTTAGTCAAACAAGGAAAACTTATTGATCAGGCACTACCAGCATTAATGTACGCAGATGATATAGTGCTAATGGCCAACAACAAGGAAGATTTGCAGAGATTGATGGACATCTGCGGTAATGAGGGAGATAGGTTAGATTTTAGATTCAGTAGGGAAAAATCAGCAGTCATGATTTTCAATGACAACGAAGGTAGTGAGCTTAGAATACAGGAGGTCACGCTAGAGATAACAGATAAATACAAATATCTGGGCGTATGGATAAGCAATGGGACCGAGTATCTGAGGGAACACGAAATATACGTGACGCCTAAAGGTAACAGGAATGCAGCAGTCATGAAAAATAGGGCACTGTGGAATTACAATAGGTATGATGTTGTGAGAGGAATATGGAAAGGGGTCATGGTTCCTGGGCTGACGTTCGGCAATGCGGTCTTGTGCATGAGATCAGTAGTTCAAGCAAGATTAGAAATTAAGCAACGTGGAATAGGTAGGCTTGCTTTAGGAGCTCACGGGAATACACCAAATCAGGGAGTACAAGGTGATATGGGATGGACATCATTTGAGGGCAGGGAAGCTAGCAGCAAGATAAACTTTGAGAAGCGATTGAGAGAAATGAGGGGAAGAGCGTTGGGCTAGGAAGGTTTTCAGCTACTTGTACATGAAGAATGTCGATACAAAATGGAGGAAGCGAACCAGGAAGTTGACTGGTAAATACTTAGAAAACAGCAGGTTGCCAAACCAAAAAGAACTATCGGTTAAGAAGAAAGTGAAGGAAACGGAGACTTACATGTGGAAAATGGGCATGATTAAGAAGTCTGCACTAGAGATCTATCGAACTTTTAAGCAGGAAATTGCCAAGGAAAGGATCTATGATAATACTCGGGGTAGTTGTCCACTGTTTGAGGCCAGGACGGGACTACTGCGAACCAAGACATATCAAGCCAAATACGATGGGGTAGACACAGTATGCAGTGCGTGTGGAGAGGAAGAAGAAACTGCCGAACACTTGATAATGTTCTGTAAAGGGTTTCACCCTATAGTTCAGGATGATGGCGCAGAGTTTTTCAAAGAACTGGGGTTTAGGGACCGGGAGGGCAAAATAGACTTTAAGCAAGTAGACTTAACTAGAAGGAGGTTATCTGATTGGTGGCTAAAGTCAAGGCACGAGTGAAAATTAAACTCTTCACTGCGAAGTACGAATCCTCAAACTCACTTTTTAAGGAAAAAATAAATAAATATAGTTTTGACGTCATTAGGTATTACGGCTTGGTGGCACTAGCCACCGCCCGATCTAAAAGGTACAGCCATATCCATCCATCCACCCATCCATCGCAGAGCGCCGCTACGCGCTCACGTGTTCCCTTTCATAAAGGACGACAGAGTACAATTAATTGCCATCTGGTTAGTGCCTGTTGTTGCTTCTAAAGAATTGACATTCTCATGCATTGTAGTTTATTTGCCACGTGGTATGCCGAACACATATTTATTTAGTACATACTGCAGTCCGTAGACCAAGCAGGAGGGGCGAAAAAAGGGAACGCAGTGAAAACATAGTTAACAGACTATGCAGCAAGTTTTCCAACTATCTGACACTACTATTGAAAAATAAGTACGTACTAGCACCGATGATTTATTACACATTTCTAGCAAAAAGTGCTCACATATCTAGAAACATATATGATTTCCCGCATGACAATGAAACGTCATAATATAATTCAGAGAAACGATTTCAATGCGTCTTGTCAGAGCAAGAGAAGACTGTTTCATCCCTGTTCACCTGCCTTCAAATCGAGGCCAGACGGTTTGGGGCGGTAACGGAAACTGGCTGCGCCTAGTCTTCCGGCAGTCTCCTTCAACTTAAGAGAGAAACCATGAATGTAGAAAACGACAAGCAACTGAGAGCATGCGTGCTTGCGTGAGTGCTTATTTCAGCTCGTTCTAAGATTGACGAGTCGCTTTTGAGCTAGACTGCTCAAAAGAGCGCCAGGGAATCCAGTATTCCTCAAGCATTACATCTGGTTCATGGCACTAGTTTCTGTCTGGTGAGGGCAAGATCGCACGAGGGCACTTCTCACGGTGGAATGGGACATTCCTCGTTTAACTATATCTCAGAGAGCGCTGGAGAATACGCAAGAAAAACTTTTTTTGAGGACGCAGAAGAATTTACGGTCGTTTTTATGAGATGTTCTGCCATCATGTTCGCGAACAAACTAGCTTATCTATAGAAACCTCGCGTTGCTTCTGAAGTTTCCCCAAGTAAAAAAAAATCACACAAGCCAAGCTGGTCGATCTTAGGGTCCGGGAAAGCTTTGCATAGTCCGCTTTCTTACCGAGTCCGGGTCACGTATTTTGAATCCCGGTGGAGCAGCTGGCTCCTCCCCCTCACTCTCATTTTTTCACTTTCGCATGCACTGCGGCACCAACAATCCGAAATACGCGTCCAGGTCCGCTCATCGCGGCCGCTTGGTATACCTATTGATGGGTCACGCAGGCAGCATCCAATCGCCGTTGACGGTGAAGCTCTCAATACGCAACAGGCCGAGACTTCTGGCAAGCGCCTTCTTCTTCGGCCATGCGTACCTCCTTTGGTGAGTCATGACTACAGACTACTTAAAAATAGCCGATTGTACCTACAATAGAAGCTATGACATATACGCGCTTGCTAAATGACAGTCCTGACGTCGAACCTGCAATGACGCGGCTTTTTGACGCTCTCAATACGCAACAGGCCGAGACTTCTGGCAAGCGCCTTCTTCGGCCGTGCGTACATCCTTTGGTGAGTCATGGCTACAGACTACTTAAAAATGGCCGATTGTACCTACAATAGAAACTATGACATATACGCGCTTGCTAAATGACAGTTCTGACGTCGAACCTGCAATGACGCGGCTTACTATAGCTACGGCACTGCTATGCATCGGCTATGCTGGCTACGAGACAGCTAGGCTACGTCACGGCAGCCATGTGCGACAATGATATGTCTCATCAACTGTGCTGGAGCTCGGCACGGCGGCTGCGTGGACTGTCTCCGTCGTTTGGGCTTGGCTTGGTGGCGGCTGCTTCTCGGCGCATGTCCGGCTGAGTGAGCTTAAACCGAGGTGGTGCACAGGTTGATGCTTGGCAACGATGCGAAGGGTATTTTTGAGTCGGACGGACGTTTTATACCTCAAGATCGCTCTTTCTACAAAAAATCCACGCTTGCGGTACGATAATGTAAAAGGCTAAGCATTGTTCATTTTTCGGGTCAAGTCGAAAACCGCAACCACTATACCACTGCGGTGGGCAGCATTCGCATTCAATTCGGTTTGAAACCCTACTCGTCTAAAATACTCAAAGAGGTTGCTAAGGATGCCGACGTACCGGGCGAGCTGCCTGCAGGGTGGGTCGTCCCACGCGAGCAGCATGGGCGGCGCCGGAACCCGCACCAGCGGCGTGGGCCCCTCTGGGATGGTGGTGTTGTAGAAGGCGAGCCGAAGCTTCTCCGCCTGCGGAAGCATGCGGCTCAGCGCGAAGTACAGCCCGATCGCCGACACCACCAGGTATACCAGGATGATTATGAGGTCGCTCCATCGGAACACGAACCTGCACAGTAGCACATACCTTCCTGAACACTGAAACACGCTATCTAAGGAACTTGAAGTGCGAGCACGTCTGCCATGGTTGATCAATGGCTACGGTGATCTGTTACTGACCCGAAGGCCACGGGTTCGATCCCAGCCGTGGGGCGGCCCCATTTTGGTGGAACCGAAATGGTTGAGGCCCGTGTGCCGTGTCATGTCAGTAGATGGTAAAGAACAACAGATGGTCAAAATTTCCGAAGCTATCTACTACCGTGTCCTTCACAATCATATCGTGGTTTTGGGAAGTAAAACGCCAGATATTATTATTATCGAAATACGAGCATGTAACAGGTACTAAGGAAGACGAGGACAAGCGCAAACATGAGCTTGAGAAGATAAGGTCAAGCTAACTTGTCAGCAGATATGGAAGTAAGGTACACTTTGGCAGGCCAACTGTTACTGATAAACACCAAAATGATCGTTGGTACGAGAATAAATATTGAAGCAGCAAGCATAGCACGTGATCGCCTGTCATGAGTTCATAAACGCGCAATCTCCTGTCAGATAAGAAGCTCATGTTCTCGAAAATGGTTAGCTATTTTGAGCAAAGAAATGTGGGCAGTGGCGAGGTGTGGCAATATATTTATTTTTTTAGTGATTTTCTTGTTTTTATACTTTGTATATTTACCAAATGTGGCACAGCATTTTCGGCGGCGATGGTACGCGCACCAGCGGCGTCGGTCTCTCTGGGATAACGGCTAAGTTAAACGGCCGGGTCATCGTACGGAAAATAGGATGCACACAGATAAAATTACTACCAACCAAGACGACCTTTCCCGAGCCGAGGAAAGAGGTTATTGAAAGCAAGCCGTTCTATAAGAACATGCAACCGAGGAGGAAGGGTGGTAGACAACCGAGCAGCGGAGGTAGACACGTCCATCGACAAGCTGATCATCAGCGCGTCGCCATGCAGAGACGACAGACGTAGCCGTTGTGGGTGAAGCGGCCGTGGCCCTCGCACTTGTACAACCGAGAGTCGACACCATGGTCACAGGTTCAAGGTCAGCATATACGGAAGTTTCCGCAGCGGGGTGATCTTTCCCGCAGCCCTAGCCATTCTTTCCGAGCACAAGCCTCCGGTACGGGCCATATAGAGCTCGAATGGATCTTTGCTCACACGAAAGTGGAAGGCAACGGCCTTGCCAACTACCACGCCCGAGAACTGTCCATCCGGGCCGAAGATGAGCCGGCTGAACTACCACATCCCGTGACGAGCTTTACAGACATTCCTCAGATGTAAAGAAGCGTGAGGCGCAAACTTCCCGAACCGCGCCCATAACAAACCAGCTAGGCAACAGCAAACGACCCTGCGACGCACACAGGAGGGATCTCTAACCCATCTATAGTTCTGTTTCAACGAATGTACCCGGCGGACGCACTTTGCCAATTCTACAAAACGGAAAGAGGCACTCATGGCAACATCATAGCCGAATGTAACGACCTCCAGCTCTTCTTCCCCCGAGCAATGGGAACCTTCTTGTCGACCCCCGCCCTGCCTATACTCAGCTCGTGCTGACGGCCAAGGCCCAGGAGTTGGTGGATACGTATGGGTACCATGTATAGCGAACCATAGAATTTTCGAGCTGAATAGAGATGATTACCTCGCTCTCTTTTCTGGTACGGTGGTGGTGTAGAAGGCGAGTCGCAACTTCTCCGCCTGCGGCAGCGTGTGGAGATGTACGCATTACTCGTCCTGTGTGTTATATGCCACGTTTGCGTTTTCATGGTTGCGTTCTCTCGCCCGCTGTTCTTGCGGAACATATATCTGTCGGTATAAATATGTCAATGCTTTCCAAATGAACTTTCAATCGGTAGTATGTGCCTGTCCTTGTCTTCCTAAGTTCCCCATTACAGTTGCGTTCTCGTATTTCAAGTATTATGAAACATAAACTCGCTCAATCAGTAATTTTGTCTACATTGTGTCATGAACCATGACATCCTTTACCTACAAAAGGATATGATGGGTCATGACACAAGCTGAAGTAGAGACACATCTTCTCGCCCCTTTGTTACCCCCCCCCCCCCCCCCCCGCACTTAGCGTTCAGCCCACGCGCTGGTACGAGAGGAGAGAGAAAGCGTACAAATTTTTGTAACTCCTTTCGTACTTGACAAATTATGGAAATGTTTACGGCAGCCGATTCTCGAAATAATATGCTGTTTTTAACGAAGTCACTAGATGATTAGCTGGGAAAATGTACCAAGGCTCCTTTGAATAGGCATTCATTCCCACTAGAGCACAACTCGCCACCTGACTGTGAGATGTATTGCATACCGATTCTTTGTGTATGTAAGCTAAGCGCATTGTTTTCCGAAAGCTTTGTGACTATGTGTTACTTTGGTGTCTTCTTTTTTTCTTAGTTTGTCGTTTTAAACTTGCCCCGCCGCGGTGTTCTAGTGGCTGAGGTACTCGCCCGCTGACCCACTCGTCGCGGGATCGAATCCCGGCTGCGGCGGCTGCATTTTCGATGGAGGCGAAAATGCTGCAGGCCCGTGTGCTCGGATTTGGGTGCTCGTTAAAGAACCCCAAGTGATCGAAATTTCCGGAGCCCTCCACTACGGCGTCTCTCATAATCATATTGTGGTTTTTGGACGTTAAAACCCACATATCAATCAATCACTTTTAGCTTTGCTCGCCTCTCATTTCACCCATTTATGTTTTTTAAAAGAAAGCGCATGTCTTCATTCCACTACAGTGGAACGCGACGGATAACTTTTTTCTTGCTTGGAGACCACCTTTGTTTCCAAATATGATAATGTTAATAATACAAAAGACAGAGGCTGGCCAGACGAGGAGAACAACAAAGAAGTCGTTTGTTTAGCGTGAAGTCAGTCGAGTACGTCAGAGCGAGGACAATGTACTTTTTGTCTTGTTCAGGGAGCATAGGCAGACACGCTTTATGATGTTATTGGCTTTAAATCCACCACAGACGATGACTAAACCGGAAGTGAAACGGATTCATCTCACAATGCGAACAGTCTGCCTTCATTTCTGCCATTGCGTTCCGAGCAAGCAACACTGTAAAATTGCCATACTGTTTCAAACTATAGGCGATCAAAACTTTGTAGTCTTGATTGATTTGTGGGGTTTAACGTCCCAAAACCACCATATGATTATGAGAGACGCCGTAGTGGAGGGCTCCGGAAATTTTGACCACCTGGGGTTCTTTAACGTGCACCCAAATCTGAGTACACGGGCCTACAACATTTCCGCCTCCATCGGAAATGCAGCCGCCGCAGCCGGGATTTGAACCCGCGACCTGCGGGTCAGCAGCCGAGTACCTTAGCCACTAGACCACCGCGGCGGGGCAACTCTGTAGTCTTGTACATGAGTATCGTGCGTATCGTCTTACGTGAGCTTATTGCAAAAGATTAGCGATTCTATGACCGTACACGAAATGACCTGACAGATCAATCTGGCGTAGACAGAGCAAGGCTGCTGTTAATGTTGTTTTCCTCACTGTGCAACAAGCCGTACTCTGTTTCCACACGAGATTACGGTAAAAGCTGACATGCATGGCACTATATACTTCGGTTATGTACGCTGCCCTTCTTTTACCCTCCTCCTTCTCCTCTACACGGTCTTGCCATCAAATTTTAAGTATTGGAAACGAAGAGCTAAGCATATTTCAATCGATGAACAATCATCGAAGAACTGATTGTTCAGATCCCTTCCCTTTCAAAAGGTGAATACTCGATTTTAATTATCAATGTTCGTACGCTGACGTTTCAATAACGAATCTTTATTTCTGAAGACAGTGTTTTTTTTTTCTTTTTTTTTTGCCTGTTACTTCCTTAAGGTAGATACGTCAGTCCAGGGCGGCCTTATTTTCTGCTGCGATCCGGCTGTTACGTTCGTTGCTGCGGCCGGCGCGTTTCCTCTCCACTTGAGCCGCGATCGACGGCTAACCTCACACGCTCTGACTCGCACGCGTATGACGATGTTATCGCGCTTTGAATTTATACAGAACCTAACGGTGACGACAAGAAACCGCCTTCCGTGTATACGTAGTTGTTACCGCGATAAAGTTAATAATATGTGGGGTTTAACGTCCCAAAACCACCATATGATTATGAGAGACGCCGTAAGTGGAGGGCTCCGAAAATTTCGACCACCTGGGGTTCTTTAACGTGAAGTCATTCGAGTACGTCAGAGCGAGGACAATGTACACTTAGTCTTGTTCAGGGAGCATGGGCAGACACGCTTTAAAATGTTATTGGCATTAAATCCACCACAGACGATGACTAAACCGGAAGTGAAACGGGTTCATCTCACAATGCGAACAGTCTGCCTTTATTTCTGTCATTGCGTTCCGAGCAAGCGACACTGTAAAATTGCCAGACTGTTTCAAACTAGGCGATCAAAACTCTGTACAATCTTGTACGTGAGTATCGTGCGTATCGTCTCAACTAGGTGAGTTTATTGCAAAAAAAAAAAAAAAAAATAGCGATTCTATGACCGTGCACGAAATGACCTGACAAATAAATCTGGTGTAGACAGAACAAGGCTGCTGTTAATGTTGTTTTCCTCACTGTGCAACAAGCCGTACTCTGTTTCCACATGATACTACGGTAAAAGCTGACATGAATGACACTATATACTTCGGTTATATACGCTGCCTTTCTTTTACCCTCCTTCTCCTCTACACGATCTTGCCATCAAATTTTACGTATTGGAAACGAAGAGCTAAGCATATTTCAATCGATGAACAATATCAAAGAACTGATTGTTCAGATCGCTTCCCTTTCAAAGATCAATACTCGATTTTAATTATCAATGTTCGTACGCTGACATTTCAATAACGAATCTTTATTTCTGAAGAAAGTGTTTTTTTTCTTTTTTTGCCTGTTACTTCCTTAAGGTAGATACGTCAGTCCAGGGCGGCCTTATTTTCTGCTGCGATCCGGCTGTTACGTTCGTTGCTGCGGCTGGCGCGTTTCCTCTCCACTTGAGCCGCGATCGACGGTTCACCTCACACGCTCCTACTCGCACGCATAGGACAATGTTATCGCGCTTGGAATTTATACAGAACCTGACGGTGACGACAAGAAACAGCCTCCCATGTATATGCGGTGGTTACCGCAATAAAGTTAATAATATGCGGGGTTTAACGTCCCAAAACCACCATATGATTATGAGAGACGCCGTATAGTGGAGGGCTCCGGAAATTTCGACCACCTGGGGTTCTTTAACGTGCATCCTAATCTGAATACACGGGCCTACATCATTTCCGCCTCCGTCGAAAATGCAGCCGCCACAGCCGGGATACGAACCCACCGCAACAAAGTGGATCATTCAGTTTCAACTGCACCTCTTAGCATTACAGCATGTAAAGAAGAGTATCGATCGAATGCACTACAACTATACGAGACAAAAGATAACAGCGCTGCGTTTGCGTGCTCGATTCAATAGTTCTGCACATAAACCAGCATCAAAAAACTTTTTTTTTGCCCTGTTTAGTTACGAGACAGTACCATAAGTCTAAAACCTTGAACAAGTGAAAGTACTGTTGGTGGAATTAAAACACGAATACATTTTGCACGTAGCCGTTATCGTTTTATGTCCGCAGACAATTGAGTTCAACTTCATACGTTTCATTACCTTCAACTATTCCCGCACAGCTAGCGTTCACTAATGAAATCGGACCTTGGACAAACAAATTTGAAACTTCGAAGAAAAAATGTGTCATCTAGGTCCTTTTCAAAAGATCGTATACCAAAATAATTCATTTAAACAAGAACTCATCTCAGCACCTTCATACGTATCATCGCGTCTTGATTATCAGCATAATGTTCTTATTCCTTTTGCTGCACTAACTTTTTTCTGACTTCTTTTTTACCAAAAACGAGCGCTGAGTGGAACAGCCTTCCTCCATCGCCTGCATCGAGGACACTTTATCCTTCAAGGCTGCACCAACCGATTACGTCTTTAGCCTATAACAGCTTATAATTTGTTCGAACATGTATTATCATTTTTCTGGTTGTATATCTATGTTGTATTTTTGTGCGTTTTGTTTTCGTATAACCCACTCCCTCTGTAGCGCCTAAAGCGCCCTGAGGGTAAAATAAGCAAATAAATAAATACATAAGTTTTAAGCATCATTTTTTATAGCTTTTCCTGCGAAAATAAGAAAAAGCAAATGTCGCGCGTGTGTGTGTACTCTGTCTTCGTCTCAGGCACGCTGTTCTCGACTAAACGTCAGCTCTGGTTTGTGTAATTTCAGCTGCAATGCAGTGTTGTTGCTTTGCCATTATCTCTGTGTTTTCAAAGACTCCGAACCGATGAGCCGACATTATGGGCCAATGACCGGCAACGGCGGACAAAGGGAGATCAAAGAATTAATCATAATTTTCATTTACGTTTTGGTGACGGAACCAGTATTCCCAATTCTCAGATTACATACTCTTTCCTTCTATAGATAAAAAAATCATTAATTTCTACTGTCTCAACGATTCCCCCCGAAATAAAATAAAATAAACATCGCCGCAGTAACAACAACAGAAAAAACATCGAAACGGACAAGTGCTACTTTAGAACTGAGCGGAATTTTCTCCTCAAATGTGGATGCACACAAGATTGTAACAACGGGCGCAAACTCCAGGCTTAAGTCGTGCGCCGGACGGGCCTGGGACTCCGCCTTCGCATGACGAGGCCGAGTGCATGAGTGGACTTATTCTTCTTTCGACGCGGAAAGGTATATATGCAACAACTTTTCAACGAAATTCCTGAAGACAATAGTATTGTTTATCACCTGGCTTGCAACTCCGGGTATCGGGTGATGACTATACCATATATAAAATGATCACATATACGCACAGATAACCGGTACAGTAAGAAACACACATACACAAGAAATCATTCATCTGAGCGGGTGCTCTCTTATCTTCTTATTAAGTTGTATCCAAATTACATCAGATTAATTGCGCATTAAATCAGTTGATGCTGCATGAAGGAAGGCAAGAGACGAAAATTTAGCTACGGGAAGGTTGCGATCCACCCAGGTACCTTACATCTTTCTCAATAGCGGAAGTGCGCGCAGGGGAGTATAAAAGAGATGTAAAAAAGGGGGAAAAAAAAAACAACGATGGCTGCCTCAGAATGCCAACCAAACCTCTCTTAGAACACTGCTTCCTTTTTCACCAAGTTGGGCGCATAGCTGCTTGCAACAAGGTGCGGCACCAAACGCAACAGTTGTAGCTTCAAGTTTTCTCGAGAGTATGCTGAAATTCGTTAGATGAAATCGAATATTATACCTGCTGGCGGCGTCAATCACAAAATATCCGTGGTAGACACAATCTTTTGCTGCAATGGGAAGCTGCTCATTCTCGCGCCTGAACAAAACAGAGTTTTAATTAACATTTTATACATATTGGTAGCAGCAAGGAAAGTTTCTTGCGACCTACCCCTAGATATAGTGGGCTAGTGCAAGATAGCACCTCAATTTTAGATATAATGACTATGCAGTAGGCCTGTCACTATCGCTTCTCTGAAAACGTTCGTGAAGACATTAAACGCAGCACGAAAGAGGACATACAGGGAAGGAGTCGGATGTCCTGACGGGCACCCTCCCCTCCCCTCCCCATCCCGGAAAAAAGTAAGCACTTCTGGCAAAGTCGCGCTTAAATGTGGTTATAACAACACCAACCATACATTTATTAAATACCGACACTGCTCTTACGAGAAAATTGAAATTGTGTAGCAGGCTGCCTCACCTACAGCAAGTGATACAGCAAAGTTCCTACAGCAAAGTGATATGTCCTCATGAGCTTACAGGCGTGCGCAGGGTTCCCCATCGGGGATGGGGAAAGCAACTTCTCACCCCCCCCCCTTCTTTGCTTGAGTCCGAAGAACATTAAGCTTCGCAGATCTGCCTATGCACCTTCACTCATACGCGTGCATCCAGAAATGAATTTTAGGTCAAAGTCGACACTTGTCGCTGTTCCCTCGCCGAGTCACTCGCCTGTTTTTTTTTTTGTTTTTTTTGTTTTTTTTTTGCCCTATAGTTATTGCGTCGCGATGTCGAGCGTGAACTAGCCGAAACCTTCACATCAATAAATTCGCAATAAATGCAAGAAAGAATGAAAATGGGGCGATGACGCGCTTCCCACTACGGACTCGATCCTCGGCTCTCTGACGATCCATATATACCAGGACTTTTTGGCCGCCATTATAGGCAAAATCTTACATGGTCATCGTTACCCTGCCCTCAACAATGACGAGTAAGGTCGCACTTATTAAAGATACGGGGCAGGCATGGCGTCGGATGATTCGGGGGACGGCCGCCCTCCCGTGTGCGCACCTGTGTTCGTGAGATAACGTCACAACGCGTGGAAGGTCGCCGCTTGCGGTTCATGCATCCGACTGACAGTACAAAGTAGCATTATTATAGCTGACCGTATGCGTGGCTTCTTGTCCTTGTCAATGTCCTCGTCCCCAGAGTCCGAGTCGCTGTCATCGTCCCAGACGCTCTTGAAGGCTGCCTTCCGCCGGTTCACGAGTGTCGACTCGACCGTCCGTACGATACGCCCGTGGTGGCCGCGTCCTTGAGCTCGATGTTGTCCGTCATTACTCCTGTTCGATGCTCTTTTTTTTTGTCGATCAACTGACACACAAAAAGCTAGAAAACACCAAGAGCTGTGCCGTAGCTCTAAAATGGAGGTTAATCACAAACCCCGACGGAAAGAAGAATCCACACGGTCAGATGGGCGAGGATGCTGCGCAAAGACAACTACGGCGACTGCGGCCCCAGCGAAATGGCTCGCTTTTTTTGTGTGTGTGTGAGCAATGAAAAAGTGGAAAGAGATTTATTTCCTTTCTCGTTTTAAAAGGACGCTGTGGGAGCACGTCAAAAGCCAAGCGGCTGAGCCGACGACGCAGCTGTGCGCTCGACCCAAAAGAGCGCAGCGGATGACGCCTGTCTATGATGTGGACGTCACATCCTGCCAGCTGTTCTGGGCCCGTGCCGTGCACACGCGCTGCACGTCCATATCACGCGCCGGCTGGGGACATCACACAGCTGAACCGATCATGGCGCGCGTACGACCTCTGCCGCAGTGCGAGTTCAAAGCGTGCCAAGCACAGCGAATATACCGCGAAACACACTGTAGCCAAGTTTCATGAAAGGCCGAAAGCATGACAAACGGACGCTAGCGGGTCGAATATCGAATGATTTTTTCAGAATGGTCTAGCTGAAATGGGGATTGGGGCAAAGTCGCTATACACGGCGAGGTAATGTTAAACGACAGAGGCCCGGGCTAAATGAATTCGGATTGCTGAGGTAATTGTCGCGCACAGAGCGGACACAACATGCCGCCTGGATGAAGAGCAAGCGCTCCAGGACCTCTTTGAAGCGAAGTTTTCTTTGCAAGGCCTTGCGGACTTTCATATCCGCGGCTGTGTACTCTCTTGCCCAACAACACGTGCACACGACAGCACCTGCACGTGTCATGCGTCAATGTTTACGTTAATAGTCAAAGACGCAGAAATGGCAACGGTAACCACCGCCATACATCCTTCGCATCCCGCGTGAATGTCTATTTTTCGACATCTATACTACACCATTTCTTCCTCGACAAACGCAAGATTGAGACCTCGTGGCATAACTAGATTGACATCTCTCGGTGAGCATTCAATGTGTGCACTTCAAGGCCCATGTTGGTGAATGGTGTAGGTAAATACATAAAGCAAAACCTTTCATAGCATTAAAAATTCGTTTCACCAATGCGATATTGAACGTAAGAAGTTTAGTCATATTGCAAGTTTCACCAGACGAAAAATCAGCTAAGGCACTTGAACGCCTCCCATCAAGGTTTATAACGGATGAAAAGCAATTTCACGAAAGCTTCGATCGTTTCATATCAATTGCAACATCTGCATGGAATCAGCTAATAGGTATACTTTTTCATCGGACGTGCATGGTTCTACTGACCAGACTGACTACATTGCAAAAGGCGCACCCACCTTTGAGGAAAAGGATTCAGGCAACTGCATCGCAGCTAAAAACTGTTCATAGCAGGAGTCTTCAACACGCCCGGCCCACACATGGCTGTCTTTGTACCATGTTTTTTTTTCTTTTTTTCTTCTCAACAGTTATGTAGGGAAGCTACACAAACACCACTCGCCCAGAGCGTCTTTTAGTTTTTTTTTTTCTTGTGAGTTACCCCATGCAATCACCATGCGATCAGCATGCGTTAAAGCAACCGCTGAGCAAAAACTCTATATATATCGGAATCAACGTCCATATTTCAGTCATTATGGAGATCGGTACTGCTTTTTTTTTTCTTGAATGGTCACTTCGTATTTCTTTCAGAACTGAGCCATGCCTGAAAAATGACCTTTGCAAGGGCAACATTAGCTAACATAATGCCCTTACCCCTTACCTCCCCCTCGCGTTCCAACCTCCTTCTCTGCCCTCGCCCTTGCGGGGATGCATTTAGTGATGCGGCCAGAAAGGTGAGGCGAGCATGAGACTATAATATGCATGATTTGCGCAACAGGGTTTCGCCACAGAAGTACTTGAACGAGATAGCAGCTGACGGGGGGGGGGGGGGGCGTCATTTGTCGCAGCAGCCCACCTTGATTACGGTGTATGACGGGAACGTATCGTCCAGTGTTTTTCGAGCGTCTACAGAGGACACGAAATGGCCCAGGAGAAACTGTCTTTAGACTGTCGTTTTGGGCGAGGATGCTATCATCCTTACGAAGTATGCCTCCAACCATGGAGCTGAATGTGTTAAGACGCGTGTAGCAACAATTTTTTTCTTGCGCAGACTGACACACGGATGCAGAAAGAGAACGACACTAGCGCCACTATGAACTGAAGGCTTTATTCAGCAAGCGAAAACATACATGCCGACGCTGTCACCATGCGCATCGTAGTGCAAAGTCAGGAGCTCTCGCGCCATATCTGCTGCTGCTCCCTTTTTTCTCTTCAGACGCGACACTTCTTTTTCAGAAATAGTTACTGATGGGTGGCCGATACAAGATGGTCGCCTGATGTGGATGTGACATGCTTCTGCGATCTATCGTGCGGTGCGAATCAAGGTGCCTGAACAGAATGACTACATTCGAAAATCGTGCCTCGCGTCCACACGGCGCACAATGCATCGCCTAATGCGTTGGCGGCCCACCCTTCAAAAACTAGTGGTGGTCCTTTAGGTGTACGCGGGGGTGCAACAGCCGAAATACATTTTGGAGCCATTTTCGGAGCAGCAAAATGTTACTTTTGGAGCACTAAAACAGAAATTTGGAGCAGGTTACGGGGGAAAAATCATACATTTTTTATCATAAAATACCAAATTTGGAGCAGTATAAATGAGCAGGCTTACATTTGGAAAAAATATGTATAGACCATCCAACGTCACCTAAAGCGTGCAGTGTGAACAAGAGCACTGCTATTTAAATGAAAGTATTATTTCGAACCACCCCACTGAGCTAACAGTCATGAAGTCCATAATAGCATTTGCTGCGGCCGTCAAATCATTTTAGACTATGCGAACTTAAATATGGATCTGCCAAGCTCGCGACCTTGAAATTTGGGAGATTTGTAAAACCAAGGAATTGCCATGGTGAAAAAAAAAAAAACCCTGGCGCCAAATTAAGTTTGTTGTTTAGGGAAGCGGGAGTGTCATACTGCTTCATATGATTGCCAGTAGCTTATTTAGACGTCAGTTATTATGCTGGTACTCAGAATTATGCGGCGTACAAACACATGAGTAACTTAGCTAAATGTGCAGTGACCCGCGAGTAGCGCTAACAGCCCCTTCCAAAATGTCAATACACTTTTCCGCGCGGCAACAGTACTGCGGCGAAAGTGGCCTAAGCAGCATTCTCTGCACGGGTTAGAACCAAAGCCAAAAAATTTTCTTACCTCCCCCCCTCCAACTTGTTTTTTCTTTTTTCACCGGTGGATTAGGTGCCGTTTCGGCTCCTTCTAAAGTGCGTTCGACAAGGTAATGTAACAACGGCGCGCGCCCGTTGGCCGGGCGATGGTACCGGATATCCATCGCCAGGACCGTGACCGGGACGACGCAAGTTCATAACAAAAACACTTGCAAAGGGTGTCGCCCCCAGACTCAACATAAAGGGGGTAGAACTTTCGTAGTAGACATGTTTTTTTCTTTAATTCTTGGTCCAAGCCGATCGAAGGGGAGGGGGAGTGGTTTTAAAAGAAAAGAAGAGAAAAGTGAGCCCCGTAACCGTCTCTCAGGGGGAGGACACCTCAACAGTAGCTCACGACGGAGGGGGGTAGAGAAGGGAGTAAATAGATAGGATTAAAAGGTAGAGAGATAGAGAGAGGGGAAGGAGAGAGCAAGGCGCAGGGACAGGGAGCGACGGAAGTAAGGAGAAGACAGGAAAAAAGGAGACGGTTGCAGGAGTCCGAGGACGGGGAACCGCTAGAGAGAGCTCTTGTCGGCAACAGGAGATGGCGTAGGGCTAATCCAGTCGGCCAGAGGTATACGCTGTCGTCGTCGTAGGGGATCGGTTGCAGGAGGTGGCGTAGGACCAACTTAGTCGGCCAGAGCTGCACTGTCGTCGGAGATCGCGAGGGCACAACCGGTCGGCACGGAATCCAGCGAGCGACTCATATGCTATGCTCGACAGCGGGACGATAGTTATAGCACGAGAACAAAACGATGACACAGAGACAAGAAGGACACGAAAGACACGAGCCTCTGTGTCGTTGTTTTGTTCTCGCGCTATAACTATCGTCATGCCATACCAACTTGCCCAAGCCGCCACACTTCTAAGTCGACAGCGGGGTCACACAACACGCATCTTATGACGCCATTCTAGAGCGCACGCTCATTGGTGCAGGCTTGTGTGAATTCGCCTTTGAGGCAGAATTGCCGCTGCCTTCTGAAGTCATCTTCAACTATTGATGATTGATATGTGGGGTTTAACGTCTCAAAACCACCATATGATTATGAGAGGAGAGCTCCGGAAAGTTCGACCACTTGGATATTTAATTACAGGTTGCATGTAGTGCGCACACATGTTCGCGTTCATAGGAGCGCGGCTTAATCAGATAATTTTCCGCAGTTCCGACCATGAATTTCTAAACAGCCAAAATTATGTGACCTCGGTAAATTTTGTATGATAAACCTTTAGTTCTTTGTTGCTGTTGTTCTCTCATTCACAACTAATTTCCCACAACGTTAAGAAGCAGGATGGCAGGTCGTCAGAAAACGCAGAGGCACAAGCGAGCACATACCATACATTTTGCCACGTCATAAGAAAATATGCAACTAACACTTTGTGCAACTCTGAACATGATTGATTGATATGTGGGGTTTAACGTCCCAAAACCACTATATGATTATGAGAGACGCCGTAGTGGAGGGCTCCGGAAATTTAGACCACCTGGGGTTCTTTAACGTGCACCCAAATCTGAGCACACGGGCCTACAACATTTCCGCCTCCATCGGAAATGCAGCCGCCGCAGCCGGGATTCGAACCCGCGCCCTGCGGGTCAGCAGCCGAGTACCTTAGCCACTAGACCACCGCGGCGGGGCAACTCTGAACATCGTGTGTCTGGTCTGACCACCCTGCAGCAAGACGTTCACCGGGCAGAATACTTGCTTCTGAGGGCAGTTTTGACCATACATTTACAGACGCGCGCAGGGTTCTCGGAGGAAATTGCTCCAGTAGAGGGCCGAGTATTCCCCTCCTTCCGATGGTCGAGTCCGAAATCAAGCTCCCCAATAGATGCAAAAAATAAAATAAAGCGATGCACTTCTTACAAAGGCGGGTCATGGTCACCGGTTGGAAGTAAGCAGACGTTGTTTAATGCGACATCATAAACATTTGAATAAAAAATCGCCAGGCCTGCACGGAACGCGCCGGCTGACGCGCAGCGCAGTCACAGCGAGAGCTGGAAGAGCGGCCCTTAAGAGTCCTTTTCAATACTCTTCAAGTAATTGCTAGAAGCACACTTGCAGGGTACCCACTACTCCATTAATCACCATAATTGTTGTGTACTAGGCAGGCGTTCACTATTCTATTCTTCGTCATGTTTCGGAGAAGCATGGTATCCGGTACGCACTTGCAAGAAATTTCGTGCATTTATTTTAATGCACTGGCTGTCGACGATGAAGCATTATGCCAGAAGCTTTTGTAATGGGTTGGAGCATTCGACGAATTCACTCGTTACGCGATTCGCATTGTGCGACACCTGGTTGGTCCTTTGCTCTTCTAAAACTCTTTATTACTCCCATTAACGCGATTCCTTTCACGACATCAAGTCTGCCTGAGACAAATTTGCACAGGAGTTTCAAACGCTGGCGTGACTCTGTGGTAGAATACCGGGATGGCGCACGGAATCCGGGTTATAATCCCGTTGTGTACTTGGTGTGTGTGTGTTTGTGTGTGTGTTTTTCGTAATATAGTGGTTACGGACACCGGCGGCGGACAACTACACGGAGCACGCTACCCTTGTTGTATTCTTACAACTTTCGCTGTAAAAATGACGCGAAAGGTCTTATTGAGTAAACGTATGGGGCACAATTTGCACCCCCTCTAAACGATTAGCCCCCTCACACCCCTGGCTACCTCCCAAACTTGCGCGCAAGCCTGTGGTTTCGGCGTAATTGTGTGACGGGACGCTTTTTAAAAGCGCTTAATTAAAATGAAAAAACAGTGATGCGCCATCAACCGTCACGTTTAAACCTACTGTCGTACCTAAATTACGTTTTTTTTTTCCTCTCGACGGCACCCGCGCTATACAATTAAGTGTTCCCGTTACTTCTCGTTCAGCTTGCACAACTCTACATGGTTTTATTAAATGACGCGGCCTTCACAGCCGGCAACGATGCGCCATGAATCTGCACTGCGGAGAAATGAGGTCGTCGCTTTGCGAACGGCTTGAACAGACAGGTGTTACGCAAAGGAAGTTAAACTATGTTCTTACAGTACGCGCTGACAGGCAACGCGCAAAGTAGGCAGGCCAATGTTTCGCTACAGAAAGTATTCGTTGAGCGCTTGTAAACAACAACACCCATATATGCACTCTGTGGTGCAAAGTAACATATATGAGTCGCACACTGAGCAACAATAAATAAGAGTTGTGGCACGAAATGCATATAGCTATTTCAAAACGGCCATGCTCTTCATCTTCATAGCTTGCCACTGACCCACTTGAAAATGACTTGACTGTCGAAGTTGCAGCCAGTTACTAATAGAGTTAATACTGAACAAATATTAAGCAAGAAACAGACCACAACATATGTCCCTCTCGCTAGGTCTTCCCGCCACAAACAAGTTGCAAATAAATGAATGAATATAAGCACAGTGCTTCTGCACACAGTCTTTAGAATAAACGCAGTTCATGTCGCAGCAATTCCAGGCCATGACTCAGCAGGAACGTTAAATGCTTATGCTGTTCTCCCTTGAAGTCGTAGGTCGAAATAGATTGGTAGAGTTACCATTATACCAGTCGAGTTTCATGACGTGAAATCCGATTGAAGACGAACATCATCTTGATGTGACACACACACACACACACACACACACACACACACACACACACACACACACACACACACACACACACACGCACACGCACGCACACACACACACACACACGCACACGCACACGCACGCACGCACGCACGCACGCACGCACGCAGTCTTTGTGTTCATTGTCGTCGTGCCTTTAACCTCGGATCATGCGAAACTAAAAGTATTACTTAAGCACACGCGTGAGCTGAAGTCGTATGCAATCCTGAGGAACTAACTAGATAGGCAAACTGCTGGAAACATTGTGATGGACAATTCGCACGTGCCATGTGTAACACCGCATAGCGAAAGTCGTATGCTTCGCAACATGAAAGATTGCGTCTAACTGGGTTGTTTGGCAGATGCCATTACAAAGGGAACATCACTGGACAGGACGGTCATAGAACGGACAGTATACATCGTTCCATCACCGTCTCCTGTCTAGCGCTGTTCCCGTTGCTTCACGGCGTATATTAGCGACGGGAAAAGTATGTTATCCGTTATCCTGAAGGCCATCGATGACTTGTTACCACGTTCCAGTATCGATACAGCAAAAGGCTGCAGCGCGCGGAATCGAACGTCCGACCTCTCGCTTGTGAGTGCGTGGCGTTAGCTAGCCCCGCCGCGGTGGTCTAGTGGCTAAGGTACTCGGCTGCTGACCCGCAGGTCGCGGGTTCAAATACCGGCTGCGGTGGCTGCATTTCCGATGGAGGCGGAAATGTCGTAGGCCCGTGTGCTCAGATTTGGGTGCACGTTAAAGAACCCCAGGTGGTCAAAATTTCCGGAGCCCTCCACTACGGCGTCTCTCATAATCATATGGTGGTTTTGGGACGTTAAACCCCACAAATCAATCAATCAATCAATCAAATCAGTGGCGTTAGCTACTGACCCACGAAGGTCCACCTCCATCAACGATGAAACGGCAAGCTATTTATATCTACCAATCACCGCTGTCGATGGTGATCTCGGGGGAACTATCGTGTTTTCAGCATTACCAGCGAGATGGCGCAATGAGTGCGCGTCGCCAGATCGGCACGACGCGGCGACCTGCGCAGATGCCCTTCATCACGCGTACTTACCCCCGTATTCTAGAACCTCCCTTCACTCAACGCTTCGCCTTCACTTGAGAAAGCCGATGGGAGCGCCATCTCTAAGTACGGCAAGTCACTGCATATCAGTGATAGTCTGCTGCGATTCTTGAGCAGCGCAGCGTCATTTTCAATCGAGTGGTGGCGCAGTGCTCAACTCTGTCAAGTGAAGGGTGAAAGTCGAGTCGAGGAGCGTTTGTGAATACGGGGGTTAGCCCCGCGAGGGGGGGGGGGGGGGGTAGAAGCTCAAGTGTGAGCGCTTAAGCTATCTCGCGGTGCGAAGAATCGTACGCCTTGCTCGTCCACCGGAACGATTCTGTTTTACTTACCGGGCGCACAAAGGTCATTGAACTCGCCACACAGTCTCCATTTGCGAAAGGGCGGACTTTTCAGACACAGTGAACAAACACTTGTTCGCGTTCATCCGCGAGTACGTTTCACGCGTCATTTCGCGCATTTCGTGCGTGAGCAACGCGGGGCACGTTTCGATCTACATGCCATTCTTCGCGTGACATTCCAATTTGCAATTTGTTGCTATCGCATTCATTGCTTCGCGTTTTCCACAAAGCAGTGACTTTTTTCGTGTTTTTTTTTTCATCCACTGTCAAGCATGCTGTCCTTTGGACGAGACCACCGATTGGGGAGCAAGGGGGGGGGGGGGGTGTAGGTTGACAATTTATGAGGCCTCATAAAACTCCAGACATCAGTTTGCTAGCAGATAATGAGCTGCACAATGTGTTATTGTTATCGTTATTTATACCTTTACAACAAAACAACTTCGTTACCACTCAACCCTCACTGCTGCCTTAAAAAAAAACATTCATGAAAAAGTTCACAGTGTACTAAGGGGCTGTAATCAACTTCTTGGAAATATGTACGGCATTTTTATGCAAGCATTATGTACAACTGCCAAACTGAAAATTTACGGGTGGGTTTGCATTTCCGGCTGCACCAGTGTTTAGGGTACAACTACAAAACACCAACAAAAGAAGCTAATGATTATAATGGGGTTTAACATACAAAAACCAAGAGATCATTACGAGAGACTGCAGTAGTGGAGGGCTACAAAAATTTTGACCACTCTAATGCACAGGAACAGATATGCCTGCGAAAAAATTGCAAGGAAAATGCCGACTTTTTTTTTCTTGTAGAGCTCATTAAAAAAATATGAATGAAATTTTGTTTGAGGCCTAACCTAATTAGTACTAATTGGAAATAATTACTACCGTATCATATGCAAGTCACTGTACCTTCCTTCATAACATGTCAAATCTGCAATAGCTACTTATTGTGCCACCTATAGTATGTTCTAGTAGCGTTATTGAAGTACCATATTCAATGTATCAAATATGATACAATGGGCATTTCAGGGACACCTAAATCTAAGTACACGGGCTTCTAGCAGTTACCTTTCCATCGAAAATGGGGCCGCCGTGGCCGAGATTCGATCCCGCGCCCTGCGGGCCAGCAGTACAGCATATTAACCACTTGATCACTGTGGCGGGGCAACAAAAGACGCTCAGAGTACACAATATCAGTGGCTGAAAAAATAATTTACTTTCCTCTTTCATAGTATACATTCAAAAGGCAAAACAATCTTAAATACACATAAAAACCATGAGGCTCAGCTGCCAAACGCGCCTTCAAACGGTGTTTAAAAAAGATGGTAGTGAGTGCAGCAGTGAACATAAAATTCAGGAATGGTTCGTAGAAGAGAACAGTACAACCTATAGATGTGTAGCAGCAGGACGGACTCTTTGATCTCCCTACGATGCCACAGGCCAGATGGGGGCTTCACGCAAATTTCCTTAATAACCAGCTATACTGCCGCCTTTCCTAAAGTCCACGTTGGCAAGGACACCGCCATCTTCTGATCGTGTGATGCCCTGGAATGCCGACTCCTCCACCTCTGGCCTGACCTTGTGGCCAAACTCTTGCAGTTTGTCCAGAATAATCTGCCGCAGAATAACAAAGGATTAGACTTATCATGCCAGAACCACAAAGAGTGCGTGAAGTTATTTATGGTGAATTAATCGGGTGCATTTCGGACACATGCTTTGTATACCCAAGTCAAAGACTTTTTTATTTAGCAGACCTAACATTCTAGAACAATGGTCATGGTGTAGCCAGTAAGAGCAGAAGAGCAGTAAGCTAGCGCAGACAATGGAATTCTCAGTGTAAAAAAAACAGGGCTCAGATAGACAGTGCCCGAGTTTCTTGCGCTGTTTCAGAATACAGCAGAGGTGACAAACCTCATGTAAATATAAAAACTGCCGATGAATTAACTGTTTTTTAATTGTACTAGTACTTGATGATTAATGGCAGTAGTGGCATTCAGTAATTTAATATCTGGTTTTACATGCAAAACTACTGCATATGAGGCACACTGTAATAGAGGGCTCAGAAAATTTTGAACAGCTCTTGTTTTTTAATGTGCACCGAATCGCACAGCACAGGGGCTCCTAGCATTTCATCTCCGTTGAAATGCGACCACCGCATCCGGGAAAGAGCCCATGTACGACTTTCGGGTCAGCAGCCGAGCACCGATGTGATGGTGTATTGGCATTCAGTCATAGTTGTAATTGGTCAAAACAAAAGTATACTAGCATGCTGCTGCAACAGCCTCCAATAACAGTTGGTACCTAAGGTTTCCTCAAGGCATGAAGAATACACATACATACCGGTGGGAAAGCCTTCTCATAGAAAATGTGGTTTGGATAGAGCTGGTGATGAATACGAAGGTCATCAATGGCCTGCTTGATTGTTTCTTCCAGGTAAAGTGTCCTGAACAAAACCTGTAGAATAAAATCACGAATTTTACCACAATTTCATTAGCAACAAGCAATAAGGCAATGATTGAATGATTGATTGGTAGGTTTGCTTGATTGATATGTAGGTTTAAGGTCCTAAAACCACCATATGATTATGAGAGACACCGTAGTGGACGGCCCCGAGAAATTTCGACCACATGGTGTTCTTTAACAGTGCACCCAAATCGGAGCACGCAAGGTCCACAGCATTTTCGCCTTTATCGGAAATGCAGCCGCCGCAGTAGGAATTTGATTCCGCGATCTGCGGGTTAGCAGCATAGTACCTCCGCCACTATACCTCCGTGGCAGGCAATAAGGCAATGCTTTTAATTAGCCAGAACATTCTTCCTAGCAGCTTGTGCACCTTTTTCACATATTTCTAAGCTCTTTGCATAGCTGTTCCCTGTCGTAATATATATTTTCTTTAAGGTTGCTGTACATAAATAAAAGCACGTAAACCATACAGTATGTGAAGCTAGAGCAAGTAACCGCAAGTACCGACTTACCAGAGCTGTGCCACTGGTGATACGAGAACCGCCAGCACCACCAATGACAGTGTGCACAGCACCAGAGGAATCGGTGACAACAGTGGGACACATTGACGACATTGGCCTTTTGCCTGGGGCAATAAGGTTGGCTGTGGACCACTCCAGGCCGAAACTGTTTGTAGCGTTCTCCACAGAAAAGTCATCCATGCCACTGTTGAGAACTATGCCCGTCGATGGTGAAACCAGCATTGCTCCAAAGCTAGAGAAAATGTGTACGCTTAGACTTTTCAGCAAGCTTTGAATCCACAAAAATATGGACGAACAATTTCATTGACATAGCAATTATATGGACACCTGAGGCAATAGCAATTATACTGTGATAAAAATTATATGGACACTGGTGGCACATTTGTTGTCACTGTTGAGCTTTGTATTTGCAATGTTCATAGACTGTCGCGCCACCAAACAGAATTCAGCAGCATCCTCGAGGATAATGAGTAGGCAGACTCTCCCTTTTTCGGCTGTGCTAGCCTTAGTGCTAACGTGTTAGCAAGAAATGAACACAAAGCAGTTTATATGTTTCATGCATTAGTGAATGTCCTGGATATCCGTGACACGATAAATCAGATTATTTCCTGCGAGACGCTAAGTTTTCGTGAAAATACGTGGCAACTCATGCTTTCGATAATAGCACGCAGAGTACACATATCAGCTTCCGCTTGATTTTGTGCAGCCACGTTGGATAGTTGTATGTTGTCCGACCTTTGCAGTTGAAACTCGCCTTGTTTTACTGTGCGCATAGCATTAGTCGATGCTTTTGTAGTGCATGAATCCCGTAACATTCACTGTACACGGAAAGTAGCGAAGGCTGATGGTTTGACATAGAACCCACCGTGAGAGCGCAACAAAACACGACACACATAAGAGACAGACGAGGACTGGCACAATCCTCGCGCTTTGCTCTTCCAAACATTGGCCAACCCTGCGCAGCTTGTTTTTGACGTTCGTTGACAGATAGCAGCACACAGCAAGCGATTAGCTTCTTGCTGGGATTTAGAGCAAAATGTTCTCCGCGCCCAAATAAACATGGTGAGTGATGCCAGTATTGGTGTTGGGCTGTGGTGAGTGACGAATTGTTGGTGTTATTGTAGTAGTTTGGCAGAGACAATTCCTCAAATTATTTTTCATTAGTGATGTTTAAAGAAACTGTCCTGGCTTTGAGGAGTTTTCACTGGACGTAGAACGCACCGAGAGTGACAGCGACAATGAATGATGAGCTGCTAACTCGCGATCAGCGAGTTGCATTTTGATTGTATTTATTGTATAATATCTTTCAACAAGGTCAAAATAAGAGCATAGTTTTTATTGTGCACTGCAGGTAGCCCAATTACAGTGGATATTCTGGTGCACCGCATTCTGCCAACACGCTCGAGCTCGACCAGCGAAGCGAAATGGTTAGCTGCAATTAAACGTGCAGTTATGACTAAAATGTGCTCCTCTTTGCTAATTTATCCTGTACTTCATGGTTACCGTCTGAATGACGTTATTCAAAAAATTTCACAATTTAGATGTTGCATAAATCTTATGCATGTATTCTTTTTAATATGCTTGTTGGGGTCGTGCTGGTGGAACCTGCAACATAGGAGTGCAGTGAATTGCGCAGTGTTAGAGTAATCACGGTTGTGACAAGCACTACTTATAGGGAAGTTAAGTGCTTGTGTTTCATTGAAGAAGTTAGTCCATGGTGCTTACAGCGAAAGTAATGATGACGGCATAATATGTTTCCAAATCATTGCTACGTTAAACATTCGATCCCATGCAGCCGCGGCGGCCTGCTACTCGCTAGTGGCCTACTACAGCGGCAAATCCGCCAGCCACGGATCGGCACAAATTATCTCAGAGTGGTGTTCGGTTCGTACGTCAGTTCTTGTTCCAGAGTTTTCTGTAACACACACAGGATTACGCAAGGCATGGTTGATGCACGGTCAATCACCTGGCACCACTGCCCTTCGCACTGCGGCAAGAATTGAGTTAGCAAACATTTAGCAGTTTATATCACATGAAACAGTACTTTGGTCCGATATAGAGTCATTTGACGATCAAGAGTTCATCCGGTGAAAGTGGTACGGGGTGTGCATCCTTGCGTCATACCTTTGCCTATGCGAGTTCACGGGTTTACCCTCCTCCCTCAGCATCTCCACTGGCATGGCGTGCCACCTATAGCCCACTGCCATCGTGAATAAAATCCAAATCGATAGTATTTTCCTGCACGTTGTATTTTACATGCTACCAAAGCAAGAGTGAGCACCGCCAGCGGTCAGGGCTCAGACAGTCATGAAACCTATCGTTCCTCTGTCGCATCCACGCAGGGATGCTAAAATGTGCGAAAGTGGGGTGAACTGCGTCTCAACGGCAGTATTGTGTGCACTATCTCGTAAAGACTTCTAGCTTACTTCGAGTAAAAGCATTAGAAAGCAGGAAGGTCACAGTAATCGCAAGAGCGACAATGTTCTTTTAGTCACGCCATAGTTACGCCAGATCAGATATAAAGAATTTCACTGCTTTGCACATAGGTAACATTTTCATTCTTTGCTATCGTATTCATTAAAAAAAAAATCAATGTAATACTACTCTTGTTTGATGGCGTGCTGGAAATATCGTGAATTAAATAACGAAATTGGTATATATCTACACAGACCAGTATATTCCAGAACAATTCATAGCAAATTTATGACAACCTTGGTAATCAGTATCAATAAATTGGCTACATTCTTTCACAAAAGTCGTACTGGGAATTCACAGCATGACTAACCAAAACAACGAACGCTGTTTCTCTGTACATTGACTCCACTATGTCCAATGCATCAGTCTTGCTATATGATCAGTTTAATATCATCTCAACATTGGGATTACAATGTTGTAAACCTAAAACGAAGCCTTCAACGGCCTCTCTGGTGCAGTGGAGCTGGATTTCGGTTGTGAAAATTTTATCCACGAAGAAGTATTTAATTATGTTTTCTTTTAGTTTTGACTACAATTTATTTCTTTTATGATCCCACTTTCGACGACCTAAAGAAAAGAGAAAATGTTTCTTTTTATACTGGATTGACATCTGGGCTATGAGGGGATAGCAGACATACATGAAGTTCACTTGTACATCAACGGCAAAAGTTTGCAGGACACAAAATGTTCGATAAAGCTGAATTCCCACTTTGTCTGGGAATTTAATTTCGAAATAAATGTTCCATACTGGATTTGACATTTTAACCTATACTGTCACCAGCTTGATTACAAGCATTAAGCACTGATATAGCAGAAATTCATATTTGTTGTGGATCCAACTCTCAGTAAAATTTTGCTGTTGATAGAACATGTTTTAAACACACGCGATAAAAGGTTCGAACAATGAACTCACTATCTGTTCACTGTGCTGGTAGCCGAGACAGCATCACCATTTGATGCCAGCACGTTCACATGTGCCGTTCCTTTGTCCTCGTTCATATGTGTTGCTGGTTCGTAAAAGCTCGGCTCATGAGTCTCAATGTCCGAAATTTTGGACCTTAAAGAATTGGCATAGTCCCTCGACAACATCAGTGCCACAATCTAAAACAGAAGGAATTCAAAGGCATTAAAAATGTATGAGCTCACACATTTATGCTAATACTTGCAGCATATTAATAATAATGTATGTAATCAGTTCCATCTCCAGCAAATAACTTCAATATGTGATAAACCCCCAAGTTCTGGTAAAAAATAAGATGCTTGTACAGCAATGAAGTTTCCCTTTATGATATGCTGATAGCTACTTAAAAAGTAACTTAAGCAAAAATAACTTAAAAATTAAAACAATTCATTTGCACTTTTCATGTTTAGGTCTGTACAATCATAAAATATTAGCTTGGGTATCACAAATAAAATTAAGAGTTATAATTGCAGCTCTAATGAATTGTAGATAAAATAAAAGCTCATTAAAAGTGCAGCACTCTCATGCTACTGATACTCAATATTAGTCCACTAAAAATTGATTAGCTACTATATGGTTGACCAATTGGGACTTCAAATGAATCTGGGTAACTGATGAAAATAAAGCCCAACTGCCACATGTGACTACATTCACTGTACATATATGTGAAGCAAAGTTTCAGACCAGGGCTGCTTGTCCAAAAGCACAGTGCATGCGAAATCATGAGGGAAACAGGATATCAAAACGAGGGAAAGCATAACTAAGTAGACCACTTGTTTTGTTCAATTGAACTGAAGTGATAGCGTTGAGTGGTAATATTGCAGTTACAGCTCATTTTTCTGCTCATTCACTTCTTTCATTTACAAATTCCATATTTTAACTGCCGCATTTGCTCGAACAATTAGCACAATCTTTTTCACGACTTTGGAACTCTGAAAAGGGGGTGGGCAAATTACAACAGATTCGAAATGATGTGCAGTATGTGGTCCTAACACAAGTGGTATATAAATTAAAAAAGGAAAAAATTGAGCATACAACCAACAAAGTGTATGTGTTTAATATAGTTAGCACGTACTTTAACCAGCCAGATATGGCTATGCGTGGCCTAGTTGAAATCACTAGCCAAGAGGTCTGATTTGAAATCATTGTTGCAACCAGTGTTATTAACCGCTGTTACCGAATTATATATATATATATATATATATATATATATATAAATATATATATATATATATGAAAACGCAAGAAAAAAAGTAATCCAGAAAAAAGACTCCGGCGTGCGTAATCGAACGTTGACCTTTTGCTTGCGAGTGCAAGGCGTTATCTACTGAGTCACAAAGGAGCACCTCCTTCAAGGTTGAAACTGCAAGCTATTTATATATACCATTTACCACTGGCAACGCCCATCTCGAGGGAACTATCTTGTTTTCAGCATTACCAGCGATGCGACACAATGAGTGCACGTCGTGAGATCGTCACGACGCGGCGACGCGCGCTCTCATTTTCTACGCATACTTTGCTCAGCGGAAAGGGGAGGGGGTTGGACGCTTAGGAGGGTGCGCGCTTACCTCCCGTTGGGGTGGATTATACGCCTTGAGCTTTCACCCGAACGATTCTGCTGTAGCTATCAGACACACAAGGGTCACTGCACTCGCTGCACAGTCCCCGTTTGCGAAAAGGACGTGCTTTTCAGACGCAGCAAAGTAAGAACTGGGACACTTATTCGCGTGAGCAACGTGGGGCATGTCTTGATCTGCTTGCCATTCTTAATGTGACATTCCAATTTGTTACTATCACATTCATTGCTTCGCCTTTGCCTACCCTGCTCGGTGAGGGGTGCACTCGTTCGAAGCATCTCCTTACTCCTCTGTGAAGCACCCAAAGGCCGCAAGTCTCTGTGCATGTGCCTTTTAATGGCTTTTAATGGTTAATAGGTGCTTTGACAACCAACACCAGTGAGCGGTTTCTGGGGGGGAGGGGCAATGTATGTGAGTAAAGATTTTTTTTTAGTAAAACTGGCTGAATGTTGGGGGGGGGGGGGGGGGTACAAGTTGTGCGAGTAAATGCGGTAATTTTTCAAACAAGTAAAAGTATCTTAACCTGAGCTTCTCTGCTTTCATTGTGCATTGCATTCATAAAATTCAAGACAGTAACTGAGCTCCTCATTTTCTTTTTTTTTCACTGCATAAAAAAAAAAAACACAAAAGAAAGCTTTACCAGCATGCATCCTACATCACCGGCAATAATTTTACGAATACCCTGTCTCAAGAAGATGGCGCTTAAAGGAGTGATAAATGCGTGCAGCTTACGTCTGTTATGTTGACGAAAGCTTCATCTCCAAGGTAGGTTCTCTTTGCGTAAGCGAACTTCAAGGCCTCCACAATGCGATGGTACATAAGAGTAGCGTCGTCCACATTGCTTGTGGCATTGCTCCCGCTGTACCCGTAACCAGACAAGATGCCCAGGGCGAGAGAAAGCACTGGTCCACTGCCCGGTGGGGGCACACTGTACATGACATGTTCACCAAGGAGGGTGTACTTAGTGGCTGGTTTCACATGTGCCTGGTAAGATTTCAAGTCGTCTTCTGTTATGAGGCCACCTGAAAAAGATCCCAAATCGGAGAAGAAGTTTACTCGTTAAAACACTGAAGACAAGAGCTCCTTCTAGAGATCTCACATTATACCAGTCTCATCAGCTGAGCTCAGTTGGTTATGCAGATTTTATGGTTGTTACTCTAATCTCCGACCATCCAATTACATTTCTAGACAAGTGAAATATTACAGGTAAATGTTTCAATAATATTTCACCTGCCTCGTAATGCTTACTTCTTCAACCTTATCCACACACTTTTCCCATTGAAGCCAAGTGAAATTTTTTGTAGTGAGAGCTACACTGGAAGTATTCTCATCGTTTCGCTGTGGCCGGTGGCCGCATCTCGAGCTAAGCCGTTGCCTAGCAACCACCGTGGCTGGCAGCGCCACACACTGCGCCATCTGGCATAATGTGAAACCACAAAGCTAGTGAGACCGTGTTGCAACAAGGAGGAGCTGGCATTGAATTGTATATAAAGAAGGGGCGACTCGATGGTATTTGTCGCAGATACGAAAAGCGAGTTGGAGGTACTGAAGAAAGCCAGACTTCGTCATCGGAACGAAACCAAGAGGAGGCAGCGAGCCGAGAAAACGAAGGAAGAATGAGCCACAAATTAACCGTACCTGCCACTACGCCCACAAAGGCATAGCAGAGTCAAGTCGCAGGCAATGCGGTCTATCATCTAATGTTGTGCCTGTCATTTCCATAACTCGATGCACAGATCCTCCCATCAACTTTGATGTTACTACAGAAGTTTACCATTTGTAAATTACTACATGCTATCGAATGAAGTTGAAAGAGGCTTGTGTCAGTGGAGCTTTCCAATATGGCTGCATTCGGTGTGACCGATAGCATGCTTTAAACCACGAGCAATTATGCACGTAAAATGCTTTCATACTTGCCGAGCCCCAACTACCTGGTCTTGGGAAATCCCACAATAACATGCGTGCCTTTTGTAATGGGTGGCTGTTTAAACCACGAAGCCGTTATGATAATCACTTTTTCTGACGCCCAATGGCAATGTACGCATGTACCACACAATATTACAGCGATATTACATGTTTCTATAAGAAAGCCCTATATACAGGACTTGTGTGTTTGTAAAGCCCGAAAAGTACTTTCCCTACATTTACAAGCAGAGGAAGTTAAATTCACCGCACTTCCAAGCAGACGTGTGGCTGTGCAGTAGAACATCTGCTCGCCACGCACATGGCCTAAGTTTAATCATCACTCGAACCAGCACATGTTTATCATTGATTTTATTTGCATCTTCCTCGATTTTTTCAGTCAAACAAAAATATTATCGCTCCCAACCAATAGCACTGACACAGCAATTTCTTCAGAAAAAGCTCCTGAATGCTGTCATGTTAATATTAGCACTGAAGAGAGCACTGGAAGAAGACAGCACCACAAGAGAAGGTGCTGCACTTGCACGTAGTGAATGCAGCCAAGTGCAATTATCCAGGTACCGTAAACAAATAAATCAGCGTAAAGGCAGGAAAAATCAAGATACTGTGCACACTGACCGTTATATAACTGATACATAACTTAAGCATGCATGCAAAATACAGCCTAGTATAGCTGGTCATAGTTAGCAGCATAACTTAAATGCCAACAGTGGGAAGGTAGCAATGAGACCAAAGTTTAGTCCAGTAGTGATGTGCGTGACATGCAAGATATTATTTGACAAGAACAGTTATTTCCAGCTGTCATTTGCTGAACCAGTATCTAGTAATAAGAATGGCACTTCTTGGTGCATTCTTGCATGTTTTCCACTTGAAAAAGACAGGTAACTTGTCAGAATGGCACTTTTGCCAACAAAAACAGAAGCTTACTCAAAACAAAAGTAATAACTAACCCATTTGCTGCACATCTTGGACAAACTTCTTTCCAAGCTCCCCAGAATAGAACTCTTCAGCTCCTTTCTCAGCGATCAACTGGAGCGTGTCGGCAAACAATGGCCGCCTAAGAATCTCTCCTTCCTTGAACACATCGTTTGTATCATTGTTGAAGAATGACTCCCTTCGTAGAACACAAATGCAGTGTTTATGTAAAACAAAGTGGTTTATATTCTCACAGCAAGCAAATACAACACAAGGAATATGTATGCTTTTTCAGGATCCAGTTTGCAAGCGGAATTTTTATTGAAGGCATGCTAAGCACAGCTCCTTCATGTCACCTAGTTGCGACATTTTTGGTTGCTCAGAGCAGCATGTACAGTGCCAAAAGGTGCTTATACATTATTAAGAAATAATGTTCAGCCAATTTATATCCTGGGCTATATAAAGGACATGAACCTAGTTTTAGCTGCCTAAGAACACCACAGCATTTAATAAGAGTAGGATGCTGATGTGAATATCTGAAACACCTCATCAGAAAAAATAAAACACACAGTAACAGTTTTTTATACTTTATGGGCTCTCTTCAGAGCCTTAATGAAAGTCCATGCAGTACAGGTTACATCTTAGAAACACCTTTACAAGATATATCTATTTCTGAATGCACTCTGCAACATCTCATAGAATGTATCTATAATAATTGCCAATTAATACTTTGTATAACAGAGTAATTAGACAATAATATAAAGCATGCAATGGCTTAGGTATAGCTCATTACATAGAATAAGTGTGATTACTAATGAACCCATACATCTCCAACAATCACCTTGGCTGTTTCACATACATTCCTGTTAGTCATTGTTCCCTCTATGACATACAGCAGTCATCAGAAGAAAAAAAGGCTTGTCGATGTAGAAATTGAAACACGCTTATTCTGCATGCATTGAAACCTAATCAGAGTGTCTATTAAAAGCAGCACGCACTTAAATAAGACGTGTAATATAAGTGCAACTTAATGACCAACTACCCAGGAAAGCACCTGTTAACAAGCGTATATCAGAAATTATGTGCTTAAATCAAACTAAAAACAGCATGAAGCAAAACATGTGTACCCATATTCATATACTAGGGCATTTTTAGTGAATAGCATGCAGCAGAACATGTGTACCCATATTCATATACTAGGGCATTTTTAGTGAATATCACTCCAAAAAAGCAATAAATCTGTTACAACTTTTACTGGCCAAGTAACAGCAGTGGTGGACATAATGAGGTTACAGCATGTAAAATTAAAAGAACTTTCAACAGCTTTCTATTAATTAATGGACAAGTGTATACAGTGTATGTAAACATTTATTTAGAACTTATTCTGAATGCATGGTAGGCATTTGTGAATGAGTACCAGTTTCAAGATATCTGCCCTGAAGTTTACTGCGGAATCTCAAATGTTTTAACACGTACATTTGGGCATTCCCTATACACCGACGAATTAAATTAAACATAAATTATTGCACTTCTGTAAAAAGTGATTTTATATGCATAATGTGGCTACCCACTGGTACCTTAAGCTGTTTCATACTCAAATAGTTGCCAGAATGGGTGCATCTAGTGCACAAGCAGAAGGTGACACAGCATATTTGAAGCTTATTTTACTTACATGGCTCAAACAAACGTTTTGGAGCAAAAAGCATGTATTTGTTAAATGAATGGGTTTATTTTTGAGTGCTTTTATCATTGGCAGAGAATTATGGCAAGGTAAGTTAGCTTTTAAATGGCAATTCGCTAAGCTGGGCCAATGCTAAGAGCCCTAAACTAGCACTAATTCCCAATTTGTCATATATATATGTAATATTCTCCGCCAGTGGATGAAATTTTGCCTACCGATTCACTTCACTGCCTGCCACTTTCGATAGAGCACCCCCTGTTCCCGAATGAGGTTCATCTTTTTGAAATGTATGCCTGGGGAAACAATTAGCAGCAACTGTGCAAGCACAATACCAGCAAGCCATGGCAACCAACACTTTTATGTAAAAAGGCATCTGAACAGGAGGCTTTGTGGTTTCAAGAATTGGCAAGACCAATGCCAGCACCAAAACAGAAGTGCACTTGCTTCCATTTTTTGTGTATTATATATGCCCAATTGTCGCCAGAAATTAAATGCGGATGCGTGTCAACACCAGGCAGTTAAAAAACATGAAACTCTTAAAATATAGTATATCACTCCCTCTCTCTTTCTCTTTACCTCAACATGTCCACGTTTAAAAAATTTCCAGGAAGGATCCGATATATTATGCTATATGATGAACTTATTACTTCAAGATTCTTACTAGCGCAATGAAACTTAGCTCCCAGCCAGCATACTTAATTAAGCCCAACGAACCAATCAATAATTTATAATAATATATTATTATTAATGTTAGCTTGAATAACACTTCTGGTTGTAATCTCAAAGATCAGAAATAAAGCAAGACATTATTTCTATTTGTTCTAATTATAATGATTAATGCATAGACAATTAATTCCTTGAAAGCTTGCCAATTAAGGGGAAATAATAGAGTACGTAGCTTACTTCAGGGCAGGCTCCCCAATGATGCCATTTCGCTTCTCTTGAAGTTTCTTGGCCAGGTGCTTGCCAACTGGGAAACCATTCCTACAAAGCTCTATCGTAGGCTCAACCAGCTGAGACCAGGGCAGCTTGCCATATTTTTTATGAGCTGTGTTGTACGCTTTCAACTCTCCAGGAACAGCAACAGACAGGGGACCTGCACACCGAAGAGAATGTAAAAAGTGACATGGTTTCAACTAAACGCACCTATCTATCGGGGGGCACAAGGATGAAAATAAACATGAGCGTAGTTAAAACAATCACACTAAATAAAAAGCTTGAAGAATGATTTCTAAGTATAAAAAAACAGGGACAGTAAGTTCTGACCTACTGCAGGATCAAGCTAGGTAATAAAGAAATTAAGATGCGGCCATAACTATAACATATATTATTTACACAACACATATTGATAGGTATGAGTTATCCACAGTGGTGTAAGTATGTTTACACAATGATGGAAGCTATATGTTTGAGTAATAACTTGCACTGGTCATCTTGGCAAAACGTCTGAGCTTGATGTGCCACTCGGTAACTGCTTCACTAAATCACTCCGTAGCAATACTATTCAACAGTACAATTCAATCAATAGAAAAGAAAATTTCCTCTCGTAATTAGTGGATGAAGCGGATTGATATTCTGCATGTATAATTATATGGTCAATGGCAGTTTGATGAAAGCTTTTCTATGGCCTATCAGTACACTGCATATTTGTGCCCACGGTGCGATAGCACATGCTGTCTTGCTATGTATGCTGAAGTTTATTACTACATGTGGCTGAAATCTGTGCATTACTACTTCTTAGGGACTCTGAACTCAAATATGAAAAGTACAATAAAGACAGCATTTCATATAGTATCCTCAGTTCTATGTTATATTGAAACAATACATATACTAAGATACAGACTACAGAGCTTGAAGCACTACAGAAAGCACATTTGTTCATAAGAGCTACAACTCCTGTCAAAAGCATTAAAAGTGAAATGGCCTACGGTAAAATAAAGTGGCAAAGCAAGTTGACCCATAATGGGAACAGTGCAAAGATTTGGTGGAAGAAGGATTCAACAGTAAGGCATTCACCTGAGCAACCGATTTGCAGTGTGCTTAAGTCTGTTTGATGCACTTAAACAATTTTAATGGTACCAAGAACATATGCTTTCTCTAGCTGAAAAAAAAATCCCTTATTACTGCATGAGGAGTTCCTCTGAGGTGTTAGTGGGGTGCGGAAAAATGGGGTGGCTAAGCACTACTGGTGTGGAGCAGAGTTGGTGGCATTCTCCTTCACATTTGGTTCCTTATCACTCTTACTTCAGTTTCCCACCCCCTTGCTATAACTATACAATGCAAGGCTACGCTACACTTTCTGTTTCCATCTGTCTCCTCCCTATTTCTTTTTCTTTCATTCTCTCGCCATGTTTCATCGTTCCTCTCTTTCCCATTCTCCTCTCTCTTTCACGCATCCAAGCCTCAATTTGACTGCTCTTTCCTGCATTGTCAATAAAACCAGCATTGCATACACCAGTGCATACCACCACCACAGAAGAGAATACAACCAACCTGCACTAAACTTACAAGCTATGCTGCTTTTACAAGTGCTAAACTCAAATATATGGTAGAAGAAAAGCAAAAACAACTTCATAAGCAACAGCTGCCCAATTTATTACCACATTTAAAATATGACAGAGCAAGCTAAAAATAATAATAAAGGTGCATTTCTTGCCTGATGAAAGGAGTGAACTGTTCCCAATAAACATTTCCGCCGTTGCAGCCATTGGGGCTGCCTCTCTGCCGTCAATGACTTCTGCTGTTCCAGTAGCACTGCAGGACCAGAGAAAATACTTTAGTGATCCTCACAAAGTGCAATAAATCTATAATTAAAAATACAGACCAGCAATACAAAATGAATTTACCCAGATCAACGAATGTAGCAAACAAGCATGGCATCTGTGGCACACAGTTTTCAATATATACACAACAGGCTACGTGTTGCCTATTAAGATAGCAATGGCGCAAAAATCGCTTTGAAAAGCAAGAAGTTCAATGTGTAATAAGCTGGCAGAGAACACATGCTACCCCATTTCATTTACCAAGCCTAGCTGATCAATATGAAGATAGTAACACTGTCGGTGGTTCTCACCGACGTCGCCATGATATTCCAGTATAGGTGTATGTATAAAACTCCGAAAACATAGCCCAGAAAAGGCATACATCATCCATCATACTGACGGAGAGCCATTTATGTACATATACAGTTGGTGTAGAACACTGTAGCTGGTGCTAAGCAGATTTCCGAGGGGCTTCAGCGTGGTAAAGGCTCATTAGTCACTATCCCCATGAGACGGCGCGAGAGGCCAGAGGACAAAGGGCGTTGCCCCACGCACCTCTCACCAGAATGGAACTGTATGCCTCCACCTCCATACTTTGACCTCAAGAGCGAGGCCGCCTGTGTTGTGAGGGGGGGGGGAATCCAACAGACACCTCATAGCTTTGCATGCATTGCGCATTCATTGCAAAGTTTGAGTTGAAGCCATATAGACCGCACAAAGACAACTCTTCTTGCTTAGCGGTCATGTCTGCTAAAGGAATGAACTTCTAGCCTTTCCTCGTAAGCATTTCCGATTTATAGCTATCGCATTTGTTGCTTAATTTATCCTTGCAACAAAGCTGACTTTTTTCAGCAGCCCCATCTCATTATTTGCCAATTTCACTATATTTCGGCAGCATAAAAAGCATGTTATATAAACCTGTTCCATTCTGCACCTTGGTTAAAAGGAATAGCGAAATTATTGCTTGACTATTCATTTTAAACAGTAAATGATGTGCCATGGACTTGAAATAGACGTAAAAATTCTCCTGTGCATTACAGCAACCTAATGAATATGAATGGAAATTTTTAGAGAAGTACGTTAATAGGTGCATTAGCAGTCCAGCTACCCCCCCCCCTCCCCCTTAAATCCGTCCTCGATCTGAAGGCCACTGTGTTCGAGTGTCATTTTGTGCAGTGTCTCCCATGGCAGAACGAAAAATGGGGGGGGAGAGGGGACACAGGCTTGGTGTGCCACTACTTGACTACGCTTCTGCTATGAAGTGCAGGCAAAGTTATGATAGTGTAAAAGATGAAAAAAAAAAAGACAATACTTTAAGAATCAGTAGTCAAGGATACTTACTTTGTATACACTGTTATGAATACACCCCCACCAAGGCCCATGCTTTGAGGGTTCACAGCGCCATTGCAAAACAATAGGGCGACCGCTGCATCAACGGCTGATCCCCCTTTTAATAAAATATCACTGCAAAAGTAAAAACAGGACAACAATCACCAACAGTTGATACGGTGTACTACAAAATATTTATGCATATGAAAGCAAATAAACACATTTAATAGTAGAACTATTGTTTCCATGAAATGACTCTGGTCATTCATGTGCAAACACCATGAGAGGGTTATGATGCTGGGGTATGATTGAGAACACCCCTTGCAAAAGAAGAAAGATCGCACCACTATAAAGATGCAGCTGCTGAACAATCTGCACAGTGCGAGCCTCAGCATACTGGTCATAATTAAGGCTGCACGACTGAGCATATCCGCATTACCATTTTTTTTTAAACAATCATATACAAGACCTAGCAGCCACCACCAATAACCTGCTACTTTTGCGCTGCACCAAGCCATCTTCGCACGGCAACAGTGGTACTTTTGATATTGTGGAGAGGCAATTGTAAATCTCTTCAATGATATGCGAGGTTTAACATCCGAAAACCACCATATAGTTACGAGAGACGCCGTAGTGGAGGGCTCCGGAAATTTCGACCACCTGGGATTCCTTAACGTGCGCACAAATCTGAGCACAAGGGCCTAGAGCATTTTCGCCTCCATCGAAAATGCAGCCGCCGCAGCCGGGATTCGATCCCGCGACTCGCGGGTCAGCAACCGAGTACGTTAGCCACTAGATTGCCGCGGCGGGGGGGGGGGGTAATTTCAAAATCAGATAATCAGATTTATATCCCCCCCCCCCCCCCCCCCCCCCGAGTCTCCTTAGTGAAGAAATTGGCAGAAATAGCTGGAATCGCGACATATTTTGCAAAGTGAAAGTAGAGAAATGCAGAAACGCTTCAAGTTGACTACAACACATGGGAGAAGCGTACCTGCCGATCGGTGCGCACGGCTCCCCGTCGACGGTGACGGCCGCCTGCCGGTACTGGCCGAGCTGCGAGGGTGACGCGCTGAACGTGATGTTCGAGTAACGCGCCCGCTTCTCGCTGATTTGGGGCAGACCCAAAACCAGCGTGGTGACGATGGCCACCAGCGCCAGCACCGCAACCACCGCCACTATTACGCAGTCGCGCTTGGTGAAGCTCGTGCTGCGCACACAAAGAGAGAGAGAGAGAGAAGAAAAAGGACACCTTTATCAGTGAGAACCGTCAGATCACGAAACAGCTATAGCCTTCGCAGATATGTCGTCTACGTATATCTGCAGGCCACTCACGCCCATTTCTAAAAAAATGAACACTTATAAGCCACTTGCACGTCTCTTTCTGCCTGCACAGGGGGCATATTACAGGGATTCCATTGGACTTTTATTTACCCACCCTCCACCCCCTTCTAATTTTTTTTTCTCACAGCGAAAGCTGTTATGAGAACACAAGAGTCGCGTGCACTGCTGCTGTCCGCCATCACCGCCACCGGCGACCGTAACCACTATCACGCAAAATAAAAAAAAAAATAAGCAGAAATACAAAAACACCAAGGACACAATGGGATTCGAGCTAGGGTCCCCTGCGTGTAAGCCCAGTATTCTAGCACAGAGCCACGCTGGTGCTTGAGACTGTTGCGAACTGATCTTAGTCAGGCTTAACGTAGAGAAAAGAATCGCGTTAATACGAGTAATAAAGCGTTTTAGAACAGCGAAATAACCAGTCGTCAATGCGAATTGCCTAACGAGTGGGTCATCGAATGCCCCAACCTATTACAAAAGCGTCAGGCGTAATCCTTTATCGTCGTCAGACACAGCACCAAAAAAAAAAACTACACAATTCCTTGCAACTGTGTATCGGGTACCACACTTATCCGATTGATTGATTGATATGTGGGGTTTAACGTCCCAAAACCACCATATGATTATGAGAGACGCCGTAGTGGAGGGCTCCGGAAATTTCGACCACCTGGGGTTCTTTAACGTGCACCCAAATCTGACCCCATTTATCCGAAGAATGACGAAGGATGGCGTAGTGAGTGCCTCCCTACAACACAAAAAATATGATTAATGGCATAGTGGGTACCCCTGCCAAGTGTGGTTGTAGCAGTTACTCAGAGCTGAAAAAAATGGGCACCCTTAAGCTTCGCCTTTAAGAGTCGAACGCGATAGCGAGTGCGCACTTCAAATACTTCGCGTCTGAAATGTTTGTGAACTTATTGATTGATTGATATGTGGGGTTTAACGTCCCAAAACCACTCTATGATTATGAGAGACGCCGTAGTGGAGGGCTCCGGAAATTTAGACCACCTGGGGTTCTTTAACGTGCACCCAAATCTGAGCACACGGGCCTACAACATTTCCGCCTCCATCGGAAATGCAGCCGCCGCAGCCGGGATTCGAACCCGCGCCCTGCGGGTCAGCAGCCAAGTACCTTAGCCACTAGACCACCGCGGCGGGGCGTTTGTGAACTTATTATGCAACCCCTAAGGTGCAGCAGCGTGTGCCTTTTGTACAGGGCATCTGGCTTTAAATTATGAAGTCATTATGATAGCACCCTGTTCTGGCGCCCAATGGCAATTCACGCTTGTACCACGCATTGTTACGACAATATTTCACGTTGTATGGTGAAGAATGTATACAGGACGCGTGTGTTTCTAAAGCATGAAAATTACTTTCGCTGCATTTCCAAGCAGAGTAAGTTATTTTCACTGAATTCACAAGCAGAGGCACGGCTACGTCATAGAACACTCATTTGCCACGAATTCGATCCCCCCCGAGACCCAGACGCAAAACGAGCTCTTCAACGCTGTCGCGTTAAAAGGCTCTGGAAGGCCGTTCTTCTAGCTTTCGCTGGGACTGCTACGCGTTCCACGCAGACCTGGCGATTTTTTTAGAAGAAAGTTTTCGATCGGGTCCCTAACAGCAGAAACGTCATGTTTAACCTCGAACAACAATAGATTTGTTTAGATCTATTGATAAAGCTGATAAGGGACGTTCGTGCACGATGATAAACTAAAATTAAGCAACATAAAAACGATTTGCAACAAAAGAATGATACCATTCATGTACCTCTGAAACCTAAGGAAGCGTAAAAAAGAAAAAAAAAAGTGGCTCATCCCCCTATCTATGAATCGGTATAACACGAAAGTGAAACGAGTCTTCAGTTGAACGTTTATCGTGTATTATTTCAGCAACAACAACAAATTTCAAAGTCGCGTTAAGAACGGCAAGCAGCTCGAAACTTGCAGCGCGCACCACAAGCAGAAAGCACGCACCAAATTAGCATACACAGGACGAGCGCGGACGAAAAACCGTCACAGCTCGACACTTAAACCACGCTGTTCAAAAAGAAATAAAGACGCATGAAACGAGCGCAAAAGTATACGCAGGACAAGCGCGAACAGCTGCCACAATTCTTCCTGCGTCGTGTATCAGCAGCGCGCTATTTTCCTAAACGCGGCCGCGGCAGCGTCCGAAGTGACTTTCGTCCTTCTTCCGAATTACGAGTCAGATAAGAGCGCGCGCAGGAGAGACCACGCTCCATGGAGGCGGTGCTCCGAGGAGGCGACGGCCATAAAGTTTCCCAATATACACTAGAGGGAACTCTGGCGCTAGTGTCTATAGGAGCTGCAACGCACAGCTCTTCGGCGATCATGGGAATGATGGTTAGTACACACATTTGTCTGATCTTCGCACTTCTAGCCTGCTTTTGGCTCTGTCTGTGTTCGTGTGGCTTGGAGCTGTTTTCTCACGAAATAAAAATCAGCAAATGTTCAGCGGTTGCGCGCCACCTTTATTCTTTTAGACTTACCTTTCCAAATCGGGTCACGAAGTTGAAAAGGGTTGAATCTTTCAAAACAAAACCGAAACACAGCAATAAACGAAGCCGCAAGTACGATTCGCCGCTCGCAAGTACGAAGACTAGGCGAATGTGTGTACTACCCGTCATTCCCATAGTCAATGAACGATCGCAGCGACACAATCCCCTCTAATTAACTTTAGGAAACTATGGCGACGCAACGCCCAACGCTAAAGCCATTTACCCAACGCGAGCCCGTCGCGCCCTCTCACCACTGATAACAAAAACGCGCTTAAGTTTGGAAGCTCTGAGGACTGTCAAACGGTGTATGGTGTATTTAAATGACTTGCCATTAGCATTCCAGACAACGTACGCTCCGTGGCGTAGTGGTTAGCGCCGCGAATCGAGAAGGTGCCGGTTTGATTCTGCACGACGAATGCTTCCATTCGGTTTTTTTTTTCTCTTTGAAAAGCGTAGTATATATTTTTCACCGTCACTTCCGTTACCGAAGCACGCCAGCGGAGCCGTGTAGGACCCTGGCATGAAACACTTTCGTGTTAAAACAAACTGACAAGGTACCGGAAAAAATCTGACTAGAAGGTGCTAAGAACAATTTGAGGGATGTATTGTTGTACGATTCCCATAATTCTGCGCCAAACTACTTGTCTAGACACGACCAATGAAAAAGCTGTTCACAATCTGTACATTTAGTAACTGCATACCGACAAAAATGTCCCAAACCATTGGCCTAATCAGATACGGTTCAACATCGTGATCGAAAACTTTACAGAAGACCTGTGGCCTGACCGCAGTATAGGGAGGTGGAAAATCAACATCCCGCAAAACATGCCTCTACTCCACGTGCACCATGTGTCGAACCATTATATCCCTTACACAGCACTGGACTTTACGTATTTCAATGCAGTAGAGTAAAACGTAGAAACGTCGGCCAATTGGAAGGTATAATGGTAAGCTCTACTATATGGCACGCAAATCACGCCAACATAAAAAAAAAAACGCTGAGAAGGTGAATCTATATAGTGTATACCCAGAAATGGATGTGAAGATAGACGTCCAAGCAGTTACTATAGCCATGAGAATTTACAACGGTGAAAGAGCATATGCCAAAAGAAAATTGTGTGAGAGTAGGAGGTAACACGCTTTGGAGGTAATCTTGAAGCCCAAGCTAGCGTCTTGAGGACAAAAATATACCGGTGTAAGCATTCACAACAGGAGGAAGCATGTTTTTGATGCAAAAAAACTCCACTGACTACATTATCAGAACACATATTGAAATTATCAGGATATTCAACGAACGAGACCAGGGAAAAGGTGCATCAGACGATTATGAGACGCCGTAGTGGAGGGCTCCGGAAATTTCGACCACCTGGGTTTCTTTAGCGTGCACCCTGATTTGTGCACACGGGCCTACAGCATTTTCGCCTCCATCAAAAATGCAGCCGCCGCAGCTGGGGTTCGATCCAGCCGCGACCTGCGGGTCAGCAGCCGAGTACCTTAGCCACTAGACCACCACGGCGGGGCAAGGGGTGCATCAGGCAGGGGCAATGTGTTTCAATTTCGACATATTAACTAGTCAGTGGCTGATGTACAGCAGCGGCCACGTCTGTGTAGAGCACGCGAGGAGCCTGTCTTCGTTCTGCGGGGCGAAACTTCGAGGCAGTTTCCGGCTCTGAAGTGCTGTATCACAAGCACGTGCGGCCTTGCTGTCAGGCTGGCCACATCAGAGCCCGAAACTGCCCCGAGGTTTCGCCCCGCAGAGCGAAAACCGGCTTTTCGCGCGCTATACGCAGACATGGCCACGGCTGTACACAGTATGCGTTTAGGAATTGTATGAAGAAATACAAGTTTCACAAAATTAAAGGCGCAGCGATGAAACAATAACAGATTTCTTGTGATGGCTTAACGAAACAATTTTCCAAGGTAACACATAGGGCAACTGGCATCAGGTTCAAGTTAAAAAGTCTGCTAACATATATAAAGAAAGACAGTGGACGCTCATGACGTAGCTAGAGAGGAGTATAAGGAGGTGGGGTGGGGGAGTTCAATTGATTGATTGATCGATTGACATGAGGGGTTTAACGTCCCAATACCACCATACGATTACGAAAGACGCCGCAGTAGAGGGCTCCGGAAATTTCGACCACCCATGGGGTTCTTTAACGTGCATCCAAATCTGAGCACACGGGCCTACAACATTTCCGCCTCCATCGGAAATGCAGCCGCCGCAGCCGGGATTCAATCCCGCGACCTGCGGGTCAGCAGCCGAGTACCTTAGTCACAAGACCACCGCGGCGGGGCAAAAAAAGTCCCCCGACGGGCGGCATTCAACCTACGATTACACGTCG